CGTATGGTTTGCGAATTGTAAATGGAGCCAGTTTCCTAACTCAGAAAGAATACTTTTCAATTTGGCGTCGAAGCCACTTGAAGATCTGTCTTGGCGTGGATTAATAAAACGGGTATTTCATCTGCAACATGTTTGTTGCCCATGTGGAAAAAGGGACTTCCCTTCTCATGAGGCTTGAAAGAAACCACCCCGAACATACGGAAGATTGCTGAAGTTTACCCCCTCTTATTTTGAAAACGAGCGCGGTGACCCCCATTTTTATTTCATTTATTTCTGAACTTCACTTGTATCGATCTTTGTTTATGCAAAGTTTCAAAACTTTTCTATAAGTCCCGAACTACCTTAAAATATATGCATAAATATATATACTAATTAGACTTTTATATATTATTTACGTGCATATAATGAAACGAGATTATACAAACATTGACATGTGTCAAGAACTACAAAAGTAGTTCAAATTATCTACCGCCAGAGCGAACAAAACAAAACGAGGTCTGAATTGCCCTTATTCATAATGACGTCACATCAAAACAATCTATTGTTTAAACGCAAAGAATCATGGTCGCGGGAGGGGGACAAAACAGCATCAACACAAAAAAAATTGAGATAAAATTCGTTTTATAGACCAAAGAAAAGCGGTGACAGCCATCAAGTGCAATAAATATTGCTTATTAAACATAAGTGCATCTCGTATTTGAGTCCCAGGCCATTTGAGTTCAAACTTTTCTTACCAGAGCGAGTTTTAAACGAATTTCTATTGTTCTAGACGATTCTGTCCCCCTCATAAACAATCCCTGACGTCATCATGAAGACGAGCAATTAAAAACAATAAACAGAATATTTATTGGACGCTAAAAAAATTGACAGTGAAATGAAGAACTTTCTTAATTAAGCATTGTAATATAGCATTTGTAGCATAGATTTCGTAATTCCAAAAAAATATCCATCCCACTCCGCCACGGATGGATTTTTTTTCACACAGCCCTTTGAAAACAACTTTTACAGATTAGAGTTACTCTAAACCTCACCCTGAATGGATAATTTGGGAGGAAACTCTTTTGAGTTCCTGTTGGTAATTTTCATAATAATAATAATAATAAAATCCAGCGACCCTCTAATACACGAACTACTTTTCATGTCATACACTTAAAGGCATAAATAAAGAATTCGCGAAAGGAGAAGCGTTACGCCGCCTAAGGCCAAATTCGTCACGCTCAACGTTTAATAAAAACGTACTGAGTTTCAAATATGCTTAAAGAATAAAGAATACCGAGAATAAGGTTTTGAGAAACATATCTTTGGAGTTATTTTATGCGGGAGAGACAATATAACTGAGAACGAAAAAAATAGCGCGCACAAATGAAAATCTCATCCGGCTGTGCCAAACCTTAAGAAGACCAAGAACATACAGATGGAGAAATGACACCTTAAAAGTAATCTTTATTATCACATCGCAAACAAAAGTCATTAAATAATATCCTAATAACAGCTAAGCTTTCAGGTTAGCAGATTTAAAAGCGCAAGCGAATGGCAGGACTCGCACAAGCCTATCAACACCTTTTAACCATCGACAACCTTCTGATTTCCGGTTATCCGACTTGTCGCCGTGTGCATTGTAGACTGTTATTTATTGGCAAGCGACTCCTTTTGTTGCTCTAATTCATCTGTCCTTCATTCAGTGATCAAGTAAGTAGATTTACCATGCAACACTCGCCATTAGTGAATTTCCTTTTACCTAGGAAAGTAGATTTACAACACGATTGAGTATACGATAGTAACACTGTGTAACGCAACAATAGGCCTGCTCTTAGTCATAATCGGTCTCAAACACTATCACTTAAAAAGCGAGAAACACATGTACCGCTACAGGGCGTTTGGTCAGAGCTGTTGAAGTAGAATCAAAGCGGCCATCCAAATCTTTTAAAGGCTCCAAACTACGACGTACATCAAACTTGACCTTCTCGAAAACCGGTCTTAAATTACTTACTGAAAAACAGTGACTGCGTTTGTCCTTGGGAACCGTAGAATACGGGACAAATACGTACAAAAAAATACTTTTGCAAATTCAGAATAAATCAAATTATATTTACCTATAGTGAAAGGAAAAATGAACGGCTTAACTTCTACGGAATGTTCAGTCAAAATCTGCCGATTTTTGCGGCTTTCACCGCCATATTGAAAATGAAGCTACCACAATGCAACGCAATCGGAGTGCGCACACCGCCTGCATCTTACCGAATCGACGTGACATTGTAAACTCTAGAAAACTATTCAGCAACAAAAATCGAAAATGGTTTTTCCATTCCGATTATTCTCCCTATTGCCCCTGAAGAACCCACTTCGCAAACACACTAGTTTTGGAAAGAGTCTAGCAGCGTGGAGAAATTTTAGCCGCGACTCAAATATTTCTCTTTCTGTTTCACTCATCTAAATGCAACGCATTTTTTTGTTTGGATTACGTATCTCCAAACATATTCCATCTTTGGCACTCTTCACCGCCACCGTTTTCATCTGTCGCTTGCTCGTAAACCTACGTTCAGCTTCCCAAGAAGCTGTTATTTGGGAAGAATTTGACGAAGCTTGACTTATTTGGCTGTTTTTTTGTATTTTTTCCCAGTAAAACTTCAATTTAATCGAATCCTGTCGGAAATTAACTTATTTCTGTACATTATCGTTGAAAAGAAATGCTAGTCGCGCCTTTTACGACACCGTAAGCCCGCGCTGTACTTCGTAGAAGAACGAAAAACAAAGAAAATGTAGTTGGTAAACACACTTTTTGAACAGAAATGAAGTTCACTTAGAACTTAAACCCGAGAAAACTTCAAATATGTGACATTTACTGCCTAAAAAGCCATAGGCGAAGAAATACTAAATTTTGAATTTTTGGTCGTAATGGAGGCCGTTCAAAAAAAGTTGAGCTTGAATTTTCTTCGGAGAAGAGTACGTTTCCTTGCGATAAATAAGGACATTTGCTGTCAGATACGATTATTAACCGTGCGATGTACGACATCAAGTCTAAAAGCCAGCCAAACACGATTATTAAGGAGTTCGTGCGCGATTAATAGTCGTACTTACCACGATTATTAATCGTGATAGAAGACGCTTTCAGACTATTAATCGGAAGAGATGCCATTTGCGATTCATAGTCTTATTTTAAGGACTTTAAAGCCAAATTATCCTAAAATTTCACTCCGGAAATTAAAAAAAACTCCGGAAATTAATAAACACCTGTTCAAAGCTATCTGTACTTGCATTAGATATAATCTATGAAAGCAATGGTCGTCGAAATGCTCCAAACGCACACACAAATCTTTTGGAAGAAACGTCCTTCCAATGGCATGAATCATGCACGTCAATAAATGTGGTATTTTGGCAGGGGATCCTGCTTGTTTTTTACCGTACTAATGCACTCGAACGCTTCGCTATTAACCATTTTGCTAGGGAAAACCCCAGGATAACCCCAACTACGAAAGAACCGAGCAACCATTACACGTCATTAACCCAAAATGCCTTGCGCACCTAAAAAGATGGAGAACGCGGGTAGTTCGAACTTGCCGTGAAGGCCAGTTTTGAAGGCCGAAAAAAATTAACAAGGTTAGGGGTATGATTTTAATTACCAAATATCTTGAGTTGATACATTTAGAGCCTTTTTAGCAGTATTTGCTTTAAAACTGCAGGTTCCCTTTCAAGTCACGAGAATAGGGGACATGATCACCAACTAAAGAAGCTCTTGATTGTTAGACGAAATCTCCATGTCAACACCTTAAAAAATATATAGAGAACAGTATGCATGGAAAATATGCATACTTACGTTAAGGCGTAAAGATTTATCTAACTAAAAAGGAAATTTAGACGAATGGCACCTTAAACTGAGGGGGATTTCCAAATAACCTTTTAGAGTTTAACTGTTAAAGAGATACGTTGGAGATAATAAAGACACATCACCTCCATTAAGCGTCTTCATAATTTTCTTGTATGATCCCATTTCTTCTGGGCCAACAAGAACGACACTCAGACCTTCCCTGCTCGCTCTAGCTGTCCGTCCACTGCAGTGAATGTAAAGCTGTTAACGGACACAGGGAAAGAATTTAGGAACGCAGGATAACATGAAATAGTTACGCAAAAGTTCATGCTTACATTGTGGTTACATCATTACACAGTAGTTCATTATTAAATGAGATACATCTGAGGACGATGAACAATAGCAAACTGCTCCTGACATATAAACTGCATTTGGAGAACAGAGTCAATTTTTTCCTAAATCAAAAATCATTAACTTAAATGAATTATGTTTTGATTTCGGTAGGTGAACCTCACACATTAATTCAAATTGGAAACAAAACAAAGATTTAGGAAATGAAGTTTTAGGAATAAGTAAATAAATGCATGGTCGGTTGAAGCAGCGTTACTTCCGAAGCCTTTTGTCAAGGTAGAGTTTCGCGGATAATGAAAGCACTGCCGCCAAAAACCAATCGCTTTCGTTCCCGCCTGCCGCACATGTCCAAACCTCTCGCGGCCACATCTGTAGCCAGAAGTAAGCCACTCGCACTTTTCTTAAATCTAACAGGCAAGAAAAAAAATCAGCTGAAATTTTATTTGCTGGTGTAAGTCCTATCTAGCTTTAAAGATTCTCTGAGGGAGGAGAGGGGCGGGTTTTAATCAGTCAAGGCGATCCAGTTATAGTCTATACATAGAGGAAATTCCATTGGTCGGTTAGTTCGTAAACTATACTCACTGTTTTCAAGAAAAAAAAATAGTAAGAAGATCAGGATGATTCTGATCCAAGGCCACATAACACGCGTGTCGCCCAGTGTTTTGTGCAAAGCAAGTTGCGCAGTAAAGAACGTGAAAGACGCAACAGGAAAAAAGCACGTTGTCTACAAAATTAGGTTCCTAATTGTTGCTTTGTTTTGTTTGTTTGTTTTTTTTCTGGTTTTTGTTTTTGTTTGTTTCGTTTGTTTCATTGTTTTTTTGTATTTTTGTTTTTCCCATCTCACTCAGTTTTCACCCGGCCTGTCTAAATTCTTTAATCTTTGCCTTTGTTGCATGCTGGCGTGCAGAACCCACGGGTTAAAGTCCAGGAGCCTACACAAGGAGCCCAGTCTCCTCACGCAGTCTACAATGTTTGAGAAAACCAAAGTACGGCCTGGGTACCGGGAAAGGAAATAGTGGAGATATAGTTCCTAGAGAGTAAATTCAAAATAAATCTTAATGAGGTGATTTTTACAACAACTGTATGTTTCGTAGTTCTCCTTCGATTTGGAACCTTGTGGTTCCGTGGATCATGTTTCCTAGACAATGTGGTGTACATGTAGATGCATTTGGCTCAAACCAACAATAAAAAGTAATAAAAATTGTATCCTGGATCTTGAAGAGTTTCGCTTCCTTGTCAGCTCAACTATTACAAACCTTCTCTTCAATTACACATGAGATCTTTGCTTCTGTCAAGCTTTCTACGGTTCCTCTCTTGTTGGTAACATCGATAATTTTACTACAACTGTTCTTCTGCAGCCCAACTTTGTCCATCAGCGACACTAAAAATGTAAAATGCAAAGAGTATTGCTGTTAACGGAAGAACACAAGCCGGTCAACTTAATCTTAAGATGTTAAATAACAAAGACAAAAGCAAAACAACACAATAAAAGCTTCGACACACTTCATAAAGCAGCAAATTTTCGGGTTTTAAATGATGGATTATTTAAATCAATTCATTCCTCAAGTAATAGCTGATAAAGTACGTTGATGCTATCTCTAGCTTCTATTATTCTGAGTCAAATATGCCGTGATTTACCTAAGCCTTCTTAGCTTGTGATTTTCTTTTCTAAAATTAAACGCCGCCAGAAGATATCTTTAGAATCATCCATTTGATAGAAAGAGGCTACACTCCAATTTCACCGTTGGGTAAATGAAAAAGGAAAAAAACGCCCGGCACTGATGTTTACAGAGCAGTAGAAAATGCTTACAGCTGTACTTATCATTTTTTACGGCGTTTTACAAACGGAAAAACTTACATTGGAAATCCAAATTCATGCTGAAAACTACACAGGACAACCGATCTCATGAGAAACATGCCTACATGTACAAGTGTGTGTCGACTGTTTCAGATCTCAAAAAGAAAGTGAATCAGTACAACTTATGATACATGAGGTACTTACATCGGAAATCAAATCCCACAGTCTTCCCGGGGTGGCTACTATTATCTCTGGACACTTGTTTAAAAGCCTCTGTTGTTTTTGAGGTGCCATTCCTCCAACCACAGCAACAATCTTGAAAAAAAGGAGTTGTTTATTGATTCAAATAATTTTGAGGTACTTTGTTTGGTGGGTATTTCTCTGATAAAAGATACAAGTTGAAACAGGACTAGAAGGGGCGGCAAGGGAGGGGAGGGTAGGGGGTAAATGGTACATCATATGGGCTAGGATTGTAATTCTCTGAACAAAAGGGTTTTTATATACTTTGCTGGTGAAGGGGTGAAGATAAAATAAATATTTCAGTCCAGAATGTGGTACCAAAAAACAATAGAGTTAATGTTTGAGGGAATAACAATGTTTTCAGCACTAACTCCTCATTATTTAAAATGCTTAAGCCTATTGTGGCCACAAATTCATGTTTCTCCCAAAAAATAAAAAAATGCTTTCCAAACAAGAGATAGGTTTGCATTCTGCTCCACTGAAAAGAGGAGTATTGAAGGCTCAGGAGAAAATTGACTTGGGCCAATAAAAATAAAGCAATAATTGAGTTTCTAACAATGGGAAAACAGAATCTAACTGTGGAGATGACTTCCAAATTGTCAATTTAAGTACATGATGTTACCTCTAAAGATGTGTGTTTTGTAGCCTGTTTGAGATGATTTTTTATTTGCATAACCAATTCTCTGGTTGGTGTCATTATCAATGCCAGGAGGGGTTTCTTGAGCTTGGAAATTCCATAACCAGTTTCTGTGGCATTTGTGGTATTATTTTTGGTAGTATTTTCTGTAGTTTCACCTGCTTCTTGACTGGACTTGTGGCCAAGGATGTGGGTGAGAATTGGAATCCCAAAGGCTAGTGTTTTACCTGAACCCTAGTAAATACATAAAATTTTTTAATTAATACCCTTAAATAATAACCTCCTCAAAAACCAGCCATTCCTGGAAGCTAAACTTCTCCCAAGTGATTTTATCATAACTTCAACAGACAATTTCAAGGCATTATCCAACAAATGATATGAGAACTACGAAACTTACAACTTGAAGGGACTTATCTTGACAATCTTATTGTAATGCACATTTTTGTATAAATAATGTTCCATCAACCAACTAATATGTATATGTAGGAAGATATAGAATGCCTACATATCTTCACAATAGTTGTGAAACCAAGTACACAAACAATACACATAAAAAAAGAGACCTCCACCAATCTAACTGCTCTGATTCAACTCACTGTTTCTGCTGCACCAATGATGTCCCTGTGGTGGAATATTGCAGGTAGAAGGGAGAGAGTCTGTAAAGGGGTTAGTGTAGTAAAACTTTGTTCACTGAGTCCTCTCTGAACTTCTTTGGGAACACCAAGGACTTCCCAAGCACTCATATCTGCCATGGGCTCTACAGTTTAGTTCATTCAAAATAAATGATTTAGCTATAAAATATGATTGCATCTTAAACTTATAGTGTTAGTGGGAAATATCATTTTATTACAGTTGAATGGAATGGGTTATTTGTACCTGTATAGATATGAAACATGTTTATAAAGGTTTTATAATCTAAATTAATAAATACTTTATTAATAAATAACAATACAGTAATAAAAAACTTATCAGTAAAATTACATTATTTATTACACCCATTTTAAAATCACTGGTGGTCCCTGTAATCTGATTGGCTCTAATTGATGTGATTTACTCACAAATTGCACCATTTTTTGCCTTAAATTGCCTCTTTTTTCCAGCTAATGAGGAGGCTACACTAAAGACAAAACAACCAATCAGATTTCAAGGCTTGTTTAAAGTAACCGATCAAATTGCAGGAAACAAAAGACAAAGAGTATTGCATGGCAAATTTTGCAACTTTTGTTTCCAAAACTCTTACTTTTTCCCCCTAAAAAAATGGATGAATTTAATTTCAGACCAGCTCAGTGCTGCATAAATAAAATATTTGAACTTACCAAGTCCTGTATTTGGGTGATTTCAAAATGAAATGGATGTAATAAAGTGGTAATTGAACCTCGTGTCGTGCAATTTTGGTCTGAAATCATACTTGTGATTTCAAATCAAACTCACGCTGTGCACTCATTAGATTTTGAAATCACGCATATGATTTCAGCCCAAATTGCACTCCACTTAGTTCAATTCCCATTATTTATAGAAAATCATGTCTTTTCCAAGATAACATTATCTACACAAAATGTGTTTGATTCTCTTCTTAATAATAAAATTCAAGGACAATCATTGGAGTAAAATTGTACTTTGTTTTGTGCATTTCCCATCCATAATTCCTAAAATTAACTCTTACCTGGAGGATGTTCCACCAGTCTATTGTCAGTGACCATTTCTACTCTGTTTTGCTCTTCTGACTGGGCTTTACTTTGGGCCTTGTTTTTCTTTTCTTCTTCTTTTTTCCCTTTGTCTGTTGGTCATTCTTCATGCTTTTTCAAGTTGTGTGGATGGTGTGGTAACTGTTTGTTCCAGATTATCCTGAGGATTTAAATCAAAAGACAATACTATGTAGCTTTTTTTTTTCTCCGTGAGCCAAACTTCTAGAGAAAACCAAAAAGAAGCTTCTATTCTTAGATATACATAATTGTGCATGTATGGGTAAAGACTGAAAAAATGCATGAGCCCTTTGGACAATGCAGTCTGCTGTCTTTGAAAAAATTAGGACAAACTACTCTCAATGACTTCAGTCAATTCCTGTATTTCCATGTAGTTCTAGTGGTGAGTGTTGTTGTTGTTGTTGTTGTTGTTGTTTTCTTTTTGTTTGTTTGTTTGTTTCTTTTCTCATTTAAGGTATGACTGGCAGTTATCTTAGTTTTGATTCTCATGTCCAATATATACACCCAATCTGACTCAGGAGACAAGTCATTCCATTTGGGTTAGGTTGAGGATTATTATTAAGCGTCTCGAAAATCGACTTGTGGCACGGTTTATTCAGATTTCCAGTATCACAAGATGACTTAACCACTAATTAACTTCTGGTGGGTCGATTTGTGAACGACTCAACCCAATTTGGATGTATTGGACAACCCTCAACATTAAATAATTAAAGATGAGTTAAGATAAAAAAAAAATGAACAAAAAAATTTAAAAAGATAATTTTTCCCAATTTCTCGTAAAATACAAGGGTAATTTCACCACGTGCTTGAAGTGAATCTTACATTTGTATCTTCTAAATTTAACCATGCGATACGTTTTAAAGCACTTTAAGCAATTCACCTCCTGCAGCGGCCGTTCTTTTATTTTCTTCTGAGCTGGTCCATCGCACCAATTCCTGCTAGCTCTTCTGGATGATAATCTTCCATGACTTCAAGGGACACAAATCCATCCATTTCGCCCGCAAAGAACAAAGGATCGTCAAATTCTACTGGTTCCCATTTTCGCTTCTTCTCTTTCGAATTCTTCTCTGCCATTATGGAGCAATAAGCAAAGAGCTTTAGTTGAGAAACTGAATTTAAAAGCTCTTTTAAATAACAAACAACCGTTTTGGTTTATCCTTAGAGAATTAATAAAAACAATCTCACGTCGTCCGCCATTATGGATTACCCTCCCGAGAAGGACTGGATAAGAATTTGTACTGCGCGCATATTCAAACGGGAGTCATTCGCTGATTTATTGCTACATGACTTTTCTCCCTTCGCCGAGTTCACTGAAACCTTTGTGAAACGTGAATGAAAAGATTAACATCACATGGCGAAAGAACACCGTACATTCAAAGAGGAGTGCATTTATATTGAGCGCTTAAACGAAAACTCGTTTCTTATCAAGAAAGGCTTTGTCCCAAAAATGAAGGTAAGTGAACGCGCGCCAAAGATCAGATCGGAAGCTCAACTCCAGCTGAGTAGCGTGCGCGTCAAAATACACGTCTGACGATGTCATACGTGAGAATGTTGATAATAAGCTATGGTCATCAAAATAAATCCCCTTACACCTGCCATATCCGTCAAAGTAATTTCCTTCTTTGAAATAAGTTTTGTCACAAAGGAAATTTTTTTCTGGGACAACTAGATTTTGTTCTTCCCCCCGCCCTCTTCCCCACCTCCGCCCTCTTCCCCACCTTTTCTGCACCTTTTCTACCCACGTTATGATCAAATCCCCGCCCCCTGCCCCCCTCCACGTCTCTCATGTCAGAACTATTTTCTTTTTGTTTGTTTGTTTGTTTCAATCAGTCAATTCGCGAACTACAGTCAAACCTGTCTTAGGTGACATCGTATCGAGCACTTGCACTGTATTAGACGCCATATTCCCGTGGGTGACTGCTTATTACAGGGTTGACTGAATTGGACAAATATATTTTGTCCTCACTTCCTCCATTAAACCCAGATTATATCCATTATTGTCCCCATCCCCCCTAATTTCTCTCCTTTTCCCCTAGTTGCAGACTGTGGTGTTTTGCTGGAAATTGTTGATGCAAGAATGTCCTTATAAGTACTGGATTAGGATGTTCTGATTAATTAGTACCATGGACAAATTTTTACATTCTGTTTCAGATACAAGACTTGAGGTGTACATTGCAACTATTCAACTCTAAAGTTCAAACTATTCTTTTCTTTTTTTTTTCTTTAAAGGTTGAAGGTATCTTCTATATAAACAAGCTGCTCGAAAAACTAATGTTTGATGAGCTGAAGTACTGGGCTGGAACTCAAGGTATAGTACTTTAAACATTTGAAATTATATTTGCTGCATTTGTCTTATTCCTTTTATACAATTAAATTAAAATGCTCTTCAGGTATTGGTGGTTTCCTTCCTGGTATAAGGCAGATTGCAAATGTTGCAGCTGTGCCTGGAATTGTTGGTGTAAAAATGATCACAACTTTTTCTTGTTGAAATTACAACTTAGTTTAATTGAAACTTGTTCAATCCTGGGCCCAGTTGTTCGAAGGCTTATAAGAGCTAACCCAGGGTTAAATTTTATTCAGGGAATGTTTAATACTTTGTTTAAAAGCCTTTTAAAATAATATACCATAGTTTTTTTAGGGCATCCAATCATCAAATCACATACTAAAGGAATTGTACATGTAGACTGAATTTCATTTGAAAGCTTTCAGATATGAAATCAGATTTCACACTGACCATTAGTTATCTAAACTCAGCTTTTAACAATCTGACCCTGTACTCTTGGGAAGCAGAGAAAGTATAAAGTGGAGATGACAAAAGAGTTTCTTGTTATACAGTTTGTGTTTCCATAGTATTTTTACACAAAGATTTCACTTAAAGTGATGCCAAATAGAGCATCCAGTTATCCAGTTAGATCCAGTTAGATCCAGTTAGATCCAGTTAGATCCAGTTAGATCCAGTTAGATCCAGTTATCTCATGTACGATCTTGAGAACATGTGCAAATCAGTTTTTCCGCTTTAAGCAAAAGTCCTTAGAACTGTTTTTCTAGGAGTTTTCTTAAGTTCCTGTTTATTTCCCTCAAAAAAAGGAAAACTGAAAGTGAAAAAAGGCAAATAGAATTAAAAGGCTACGTACATTATTTAAACTTTATGTGCTCTTATTTACCTTGTCAATGGAGTTCCTAGGCCGCTCATGCAGATCACAACACAATGACTTAGTTTAATTCTAGCCATTCTAGTTGTAACATTCCTTCACTTCTTTTTTGCTTATGGACTACAATGTTTTTACTGTCACTTTGATACCTATTTGTCAACGGTAAACCCTGTTTGAACAGGAAAAGAAAGCCAGTAGCACAGCGTACACACAAACAGTGTAGCGTTGTGTGAAATGGCTAAGCGTAATTTTGAATGGTACAGCGTACATATAAACAGTGTAGAGTTGCATGAGATGGCTCAGCATAATGTTGAATGGTACAGCGTACACACAAATGGTGTGGCATCGTGTGAAATGGCTCAGCGTAATGTCAAATGATGTAGCGTTGCATGGAATGGCTGTTGTTATCAGTATCTGTTGTCTACATTGGCAGTAGAAAACGGACAAACAGAGGAGTTTCTTGATCACAGTGCAAATTTCAGGAAGATAAAAATTACCTTTTTTAGTTATAATTAAAAAAATATGTGCCAAAGACATTATAGTTACCTAAAACAATTCTACTGTAGAAAATAGTGGGAAATGCTTGTTTTCTGTGTTTACACAAAACTAGCAACTGTAAAGTGCAGAACCCAGCTAGTCTTGAACTCTCGAGGGAAGCAACAATTTGCTCATACAGCTGGGAGTTTGCGATAGAGGGGTAAATTTGTTTGTAAAACAGGAACAAGGGATGCTGCTCTTTGTTCGAGATAAGGAGTTTGAGGTAGCTGAGTTCAAGATAGCCAATAGTAAATGCCTGAGAAAAGCAGGGCAAACCCAAGGGTCCAAGGTTCAACTGTACCATATTTACCCGTGTATAATATGCATTTTTTCTATAAAAATAACCATCAAAATTGCAGTGTGTATTATAAACAGATTCTATTGTTTGTCAAGCAGGTCCTAATTTGCATATGTTAAAAACACAACAAAGAAAGTAACAAAAGCTTAGTAGTAACTGGTCTTTATTAGCTTGAGTAAAATAATCTACCAATGGTAATTGTTTTTAGCAAGTGCCTAACCTTGAAGGTATCTCACAGCATTCGCAGCAAATGGTCACCAAATTAAGTATTAATGTGTCACAGCAATGCAATTTTTTAGATGCACATTTACTTTTTATTACTAGTAATAATTATTTTGCAAGGTGCAATTCCCAAGCAGCAGACTTGTGACAGATTCTCTTGTGTCTATCTATCTACCTACCTATCTATCTATCTATCAGGTTCCAAGGGGGTTAGCAAGAGCACTCTCCTTTCACGTCATATAGCAGTTAAGGCAACAATTGGGGAGGAGGATTGGAGAACAGCATATTTTGTGAGTACAACATATATTCTACTGTTATTTCGGCTGTTCAAATATAGGTTATTTGTCACCTAGCGATGTAAATATTAATAAGAACCATACTTACATAATTCAGCCATTGAATAGCCCTTTTGTATACCTTTTTCGTGCAAAGAGACGGTGGTGCCAATCAAGTGTTAAGTTGCAAGTTCATGCTTTTCTTTACCACATTGTTTGAAAACACAACAAATCATTTCCATTTGAATTCCATATTAAAGATACATGTCTGCCCCAGCTATGTATGCCCTTAAAATATATGTTTAGTTTACTGTCTTTCATCTGACAATCTCTCCTATGGGAAACCAGGGCTAAAAATTGGCAGTGACACGGTCGCCAGTGGCGAGTTAAAACTGACTAGGGCTACCAAAAGTTAAGGGTTGAATGCCCAGTGTGCGACTATGCTACAGAATTTCATAACGTTGCAATGTAAGTTATTCAAAGTACAAAGTTAAAAATAAAACTCAATATATAGTTCAATTGGACTACCCTTCTCTTCGTTTCTTTGCTTGGACCCTAAGATTATCCATTTTAGTTAATTTTTAGTTCTAAAGTGGAAATTCCTAGCCATTTTAACAGTGATTTCACAAGCAATCCACATTCACAAAATATAGACACCATTTTGATTTTGTGACTGCCACGTGACTCTGGACATACCTAGAGTTCCGTGCAGGATGGTTTCGAGGTACACGTTTCTGCTTTGAGGAAGAATTTGTTGATAGGCTTATCCAGAAATACCTGTAACCACAGTCACTGCATACAAGAATGTCTTTGAACAAAAACCCAGCTTTTTCTACAATGATTTTTACAACAAGTGCAAATAAATTCTTGAAGTTACTTTATTGCAGTTTACTTTATTTACTTAAATAAATAAAAACACGTAACACCTCTAATAATTTTATAGTGCCAAATGAATAGCCAAAATGTTAAAGAAAAATGTCTCATGGCATTACTGGGGGCATTGCCTTTTTGTGTTCTTTCCTTTTAGTTAATGCTCAGTTAAAAGCCATGGGGCACTTATTCAAGTTTTTCATTTTAAACTAGAGGAAATCGATGGCTTCTTCATATCGGGATGGGCCACTAAGAATTCAAGGAAACTGTCTCGACTGGCCATCAAGCACTGGAGTTAATTTTTAGCCCAGGGAAACACCAAATTTTTATGACATGCCACTGAAAGATTTCAAACAGCTATATGAGAGGTTGTGGCAGATATGCCATTCTTTTTTTTTACCAACAATATCCATCAAATACCCAGGGATGAACAAGCTGCACATATATTGAAGTGCATTTTAAAGGAGACTGTCACCCTCTCTGTGAGTTAAACATTGCAATATGAATAGTATAACTGAATACCTATCAGTTAGTTTGAATTAAAGGTCATTCCACAGTATTTTGTCCCCAACTAGAAGGTTTTTGAATCTTTCATGGCAGACTTAAGATCCTTGTAGCATTGTTGCTTGATAAATGAAGTTTGTGATAGATCTCGAATTTTGGGAATGGAATGCAAAATGGTTGCATAAACTGTAATACATTATAGAAAATATCAAAATGCCTGTTGTGGAGACGACAAATACATTTTTTGTTGAAGAAGTAATAAAAACTAAAATCACACAAAAGTTGCCAGAACACAAATGTGTGCAAGTGCCCTCTACAGAACAGTTATTGGAAGATGGCTCAGTGGGTAAGGCTCAGTACAGTATGCAACTTCCATTCCCCAAATGTTGTCTCTGGAAGGGTTTGACACTCCAAAGTTTCTGTTATTTCTGAATAAAAAAATTGAAAGTATTCTTAGAACTTCTGATTTATGACAGAATATGAGGGGTTCTCAAAGGCCAAAAACCTTTAGGAAATGTATGAAGTGTACATGTAATTGGAATTTTCAGGGGCGTGGAGAGGGGGAGTCTTAGGATAAATCCCTTTCATGGGGAGGGTATGGATAATTTATGGAACTACACATTATGAAATTTTGGACATTATTTCCATTGCAGATACAACACTTACCAGAGCATTACTGCCCCAAACATCTGAATATTTTTTTCAATGCAAGAATAGAAACAGAAAAGTGATCTCAACATGAGCTCAACATAATACAATAGCTGAGATGCTATTACATATTCATTATACACCAGAAAATTTCAACATCTTGAATACAAAGTTTCAGTTGCTAATTCTTGGTAGATATTATTCTTTAATAAAATCAGTTTTAGATGTTATGGCAGAAAAGTTTTCTTTTAAAGTACAACTGTAAACAAAAAATGACAATTATATGGCTTTGTGTGGTTGTGGTTTCCATGATCTAGTTCAAGTAAAATCGATTGCTTGGCCAAAATTTGGGGGATTGGGACTAGTTTACTCTGAGAATAACCAATGGAGGTTCAGTGTGGTAGGAAATGTGCATCCTGGAATCTCCATGCCCCAGAATATCATATAAAGTGTGTTTTGTTGTAAGACTTGAACTTTAAAAAATATTTCCATTGTTAGCAGTGGGTGGAATTTTTTGCCGTCTCCACAACATGTGTGCACTTGCATAATGGCAATTGTCACAAGAAAATACCAAATGCTTCTACACTGCATGACCCTGTATGCATTATAGATATGTTGGTCTAAAAGAACATAAATATAGAGATTTTAAAAGCATTTCACATTCAGAGGAATTTTGAATTAAATTTGTTGCATCAAATATTGTGGTTTCTCTGATGTCTTCTCTGCAAGGGTTAGGTACAATTTTGAGTAATGTAAAATACTTGTGTGTATACCTTCTTCTTCTGGTAACCACACAATAAGAGATAAATTGAAGACATGAAATTTTGATTTCACCTAGTATGGCATAAAATATATCTCCAAATGTCATCTCCGCAACAGACAAAATACTGAGGAATGACCCTTAATTTGAATAATTAACTGAGTCTGAACTGTGTGCAGTCAAACCTCTATTAAAGTGTCTATCACCCTTAAATAGATATTTTCAGAATCAACTCTATGCACATTAGTTAGTTAATGTTGTTAATGTTGTTGTTGTTTGTTGTTAAATGGTGAAATATTTCTTGTTTTTGAGTTTACAAAATGCTAATTAGATGATGTCAACCTGGGAATTTGCCATTATTTCTATGCCAATTTACAATGTGCAGTATACAGCTTGAGGATAATTAATTTGATAAATACAAAAAATAAACTGTGGATAGTCAATTGATTGGTAAAAAATATCACTTGGAGGTGAAAACAAGTAGTTGTATAATAAATGATTCCCATGTTGACGTCATTAATTAGCATTTTGTAAATTCAAATCTATATAGCTCAATAACACGACGTTCAAAACAAATATTCCACCATTTAACTGTTCAATGTGTGTAGACTTGATTCTGAAAATATAATTGTATTTAAGGGTGGCAGGCACTTTTAGTGGCCATACTTTAATCACTTACAGCCACCAACTATAACAGTCATTGTTTAATTCTAGAACTGGAGTGTCATGGCAGCAACTTCCAGACATGGTCTGTTCTCGTTATTCAGTGATGACAAACCTCTTCTCAGTTGCCATGATTTAAATATTGTGTATTGTGTCAACCCAGAAGAATCAGTGGGCAGAGCCTTATTCAAACAAATCATGGTGAGTTTGTTGTACTTCCTTAGTGAGCACCCAAGTATTCATTTCAGTAAAGCTGTTCAGATGGCGTATGACGGCTAAACTTTTTGTTAGTGGTTTCTATACTTAGCATTGTTTAATTTAAAGGGGTGAGTGGAATAAAGCTTTGAGTGACTTCTGATCAACTGCTAGATTCTCCTTCCAGTTTATATTGTATATGCTCGTGTAACGAAGGGAGAATTTGGCTATAAATCAGGAGTCACCTAGGGCTTTATTCCAAACATTATTTTGAATAAGGCCCTAAGTGACTCCTGATCTGAAGCCAAATTGTTACATGAGCATATACAATACAAACTGGAAGGAGAATATAGCAGTTGATCAGAAGTCACTTAGGGCTTTATTCCAATCACCCCTTCATTTCGCACCGTAAAATTTTCGAACACTACAAACACATGAAATTTGCTAAATTTTCGGTCATTTTTACTAAAAAAAGGTCACTTAGAAAATTTTGGACAGCAATTTTCAGCTGGCATTTTTCGGAAAAATCACATTTTATTCCAAAGAATTTTCGGCTAAGTAAATTTTCAGCTAGAACATTTGAACAGGTAATATTTTTCTAACGATCTGTAGATTTGTATATGTTTGATAAATACATGCGGAGTAATGATTTTTCCCACATACAGTACCGACAAGAACTACCCCCCACTAAAATTGCACCAAAAGCAGACCTGAGCAGACCATACTTTCTGAAGTGAACCCAACCAAACTTCAAGCCCATATATAAGCTATATAGGTATGTGCCGCCTAATAGGGTCGGGTTTTTGAGCCTCTGGATCCATAAATAGGGTGTCTTATTCGCGATTCTGGGTCTGCTCATGTTTGCACTGATGTTTGCATGTGAAGTGGGGGTTAGTTCCAGTCGGTACTGTAACTGCAACGACAGTCCAATCGGAGGGTTCAATCGACGGTGAGGAAAGAGGCCTCACTACTCTATGTACAGTACCGCTCGCGTATACGTTAGCTGCGCAGGCGAATTTCATACGCTCCGACGCAGGGTAGTCAGACGCGTATATACGATTTTTTGAACGCTCGGTCGAAAAAAATGCGCGATTCATGTGCCTTTGTTATTCAGTGCTACAAGTTTCCTTTGTATTTCATTGTTGTATGAAACAATTGACTTCTAAGTTTGAAAAAGCGATGAGTAGACAACGGAAAATTTACATAATGAAATAAAAAGTACCGTGTTACACTCTCGAATGTCGCGTCGCTTCGCGAATTTTTCGGATAACGTGTAGTAGCAGTAGATTGATGTTAAGCCTTCTGATCACCAACTACATTTATGATTTGTAACGTTCATATTTGTCATATTACAGGATATCCAAACTGAGCAGGAATTGTCCCCTGGCCCACCGACGTGCAGGCACACATTGGCTATATTCCTCGAACAGTCATTCAGTACGCTAAGTACCTTCTAAGAGGCAACAGTAACGTTGAACTTTTCATGGCCAAGGCAATTACTAATATTCTACAAGTACTAGAAGACGAAGCACTGTAGATTCCTGATAGGTGCAAACGTGTGCGCATCAGGTCACTAGCGATGATGAGTACTTGCAAGGCTAGTGGTATGTTTGAAATGAGGTGGTCACCATCAACCTTTTCCTGGTCTTGTTTGAAACCACCAGGATTCGATTTGAAAGAAGTATCCGTCGTTAACCCTCTGGTTGAAGAAGCTGTTGTGCAGTTTACGTTGGAAAATCCCAATTATTTGTTGGATGTAGTAAGTATTGATTTTTTTACTCTGGCGATCAAATCCTGGGGTGTGGGTCGATACTGAACTGACAGGGGGGTTCGGCCGTACCATTTTGTGTGTAAAATTCCAGATATGGTACTATTTAGGGGGGCTGTTGAAAAAAACAATTTTATAATTAACTTGGTACCATTTAGGGTGTCAATTGATTACTAATTGGAATCTGGTTACCGGTTACCGATTTTAGACTTTCAGTTACCGGTTACCGATTTCAGAATTTCAGTTACAGGTTACCGATTTCCCGTTTGGTAAACAAACAACATTTTTTCTATGCAAAACATTATTGTAAATGTGCTCGACTAGTACCTCGTCTATTAACAACAAATTAAGCGCTAGAATGAGCAGACAATCAAAACATGTCGAATTCTTCATGACACATCTGAAATCGGTAAACGATAACCAGATGCCAATAAGTCAGTCAACTTATTTGTCATGTAAAGCAGAGTACAAAAATATCATTCTCGATCGGCTTTTTAGTCAACCTACAGTGCCTTTTATGGGTCATTTTTAGGGCCACAGCCGAGCCCCCCGGCTGTCAGTTCAGTATGGGAGCCGAACTCCCACCCCGCCCCACGGAGAACAAATCTGCAGGTCTATAGGCTGGTTAACCGCGGTCAAACGAGAGAAATTTGCAATAGTTAAGCAAAGTACTTAAAGGTTAAGGTGGTCGTTTTCACTGCTTATTAAAGTTTAATATATTGCCAACATATTTACCAAAATTTACCAAACGTTTTGAAAGTTTACCAAAAAAGTTCTAAACAGTGAACCGCAGAATCGTCGACGCCATTTGTCAACATAATTTGGATCAGGCGCAAAGAGTTTTGGTCAGTTTTCCACGGAAAAAAGCTCATCATTTGAGAAAAATTAAAAGATAATAACGTGAACTAATTTTTTTACTCATCCTTGCTTACATTAAATAAAATCCCACTGAATAAAACGAAAACCGCGTTGGACGTTTGACCGCGGTGGACTAGGCTGGATACATCCCTGCGTTTGGTAAATGAAAGAAATAATTGTGGCTTCATTCACCATTCATTCAGCGTGTCATGCCCCAAAGCATAAAGTATAATGAGGCTCCATCTCTTCATCAGGTGGATACCATAAAAGGCCAATCTGCAGGGAGACCTGGCAACTTAGTTGGCAAATATTGGGAGAAGCTGATATTTAGCAATCTCAAGGAATGTGTGAAAAATGAGTATTCCTTCAAGGAAGAGGCATGTGGTTCCACTGCTGCTAGATCCTACTTAAATTTGTGTGGACATCAAAGCAAAACAGATATGAGAAAATCGATAGAACAGATAATTAGAGATAAATATAGTGCAATGATAGTCGATTGTTCTAATACCAACGCCTTTGACTTGGTCATCTTTGATAAATGCAACAAAATTCATGCCATTCAGGTAACCGTTCAAACCGCTGCGAAGAAATGTAACGACAGTGACTTTTTCAAGACTAAAAATATTCACTTTACGTATTTACTTGCGCCTTATAAGGTCGACGTCAACGCTATTAAATTGAAATCAAAGTTATATTATGCATATGTGGCGTATGGTTTGCGAATTGTAAATGGAGCCAGTTTTCTAACTCAGAAAGAATTGAGTACCGGTACTTTTCAATTTGGCGTCGAAGCCACTTGAAGATCTGTCTTGGCGTGGATTAATAAAACGGGTATTTCATCTTCAACATCTTTATTGCCCATGTGGAAAAAGGGACTTCCCTTCTCATGAGGCTTGAAAGAAACCACCCCGAACATACGGAAGATTGCTGAAGTTTACCCCCTCTTATTTTGAAACGAGCGCGGTGACCCCCATTTTTATTTCATTTATTTCTGAACTTCACTTGTATCGATCTTTGTTTATGCAAGGTTTCAAAACTTTTCTCTAAGTCCCGAACTACCTTAAATTATATGCATTAATATATACAGTAATTAGACTATTATATATTACTTACGCGCATATAACGAGACGAGATTATACAAACAATGACATGTGTCAAGAACTACAAAAGTAGTTAAAATTTTCGACCGCCATAGCGAACAAAACAAAACGAGGTCTGAATTGCCCTTATTCATAATGACGTCACATCAAAACAATCTATTGTTTAAACGCAAAGAATCATGGTTGCGGGAGGGGGACAAAACAGCAACAACACAAAAAAATTGAGATAAAATTCGTTTTATAGACCAAAGAAAAGCGGTGACAGCCATCAAGTGCAATAAATATTGCTTATTAAACATTAGTGCATCTCATATTTGAGTCCCAGGCCATTTGAGTTCAAACTTTTCTTACCAGAGCGAGTTTTAAACGAATTACTATTGTTCTAGACAAATGTTACCTTTGGTAACACAATCTCATCCGGCTGTGCCAAACCTCAAGATGACCAAGAACATACAGATGGATAAATGACACCTTAAAAGTAATCTTTATTATCACATCGCAAACAAAAGTCCTTAAATAATATCCTTATAACAGCTAAGCTTTCAGGTTAGCAGATTTAAAAGTGCAAGCGAATGGCACGACTCGCACAAGCCTATCAACACCTTTTAACCATCGACAACTTTCTGATTTCCCGTTATCCGGCGTGTTGCCGTGTGCATTGTAGACTGTTATTTATGGGCAAGTGACTCCTTTCGTTGCTCTAATTCATCTGTCCTTCATTCAGTGATCAAGTAAGTAGATTTACCATACAACACTCGCCATTAGTGAATTTCCTTTTACCTAGGAAAGTAGATTTACAACACAATTGAGTATACGATAGTAACGCTGTGTAACGCAACAGTAGGCCTGCTCTTAGCCATAATCGGTCTCAAACACTATCACTTAAAAAGCGAGAAACACATGTACCGTTTGAGAGCGTTTGGTCAGAGCCGTTGAAGTAGAATCAAAGCGGCCATCCAAATCTTTTAAAGGCTCCAAACTAAGACGTACATCAAACTTGACCTTCTCGAAAACCGGTCTCAAATTACTTACTGAAAAATAGTGACTGCGTTTGTCCTTGGGAACCGTAGAATACGGGACAAATACGTACAAAAAAATATTTTTGCAAATTCTAAATAAATCAAATTTATCTATAGTGAAAGGAAAAATGAACGGCCTAACTTTTACGGAATGTTCAGTCAAAATCTGCCGATTTTTGCTGCTTTCACCGCCATATTGAAAATGAAGCTACCACAATGCAACGCAATCGGAGTGCGCACACCGCCTGCATCTTACCGAATCGGCGTGACATTGTAAACTCTAGAAAACTATTCAGCAACAAAAATCGAAAATGGTTTTTCCATTCCGATAGATTATTCTCCCTATTGCCCCTGAAGAACCATCTTCGCAAACACACTAGTTTTGGAAAGAGTCTAGCAGCGTGGAGAAATATTTCTCTTTCTGTTTCGCTCATCTAAATGCAACGCACTTTTTTGTTTGGATTACGTATCTCCAAACAAAAATAAAAAAAAGGAAAAAGGATATCAGTGACACATTGCTTTCTTTTTTCTTTAAATGGATAAAGCCTGAAAATTTCCAATTCCGCATATCCAAGACTACTTGTGCAAGGGGATGCAAGTTATCCAAGCGTGAAAGAATTTTATCATATTCCATCTTTGGCAATCTTCACCGCCACCGTTTTCATCTGTCACTTGCTCGTAAACCGACGTTCAGCTTCCCAAGAAGCTGTTATTAGGGAAGTATTTGACGTAGCTTGACTTATTTGGCTGTTTTTTTGTATTTTTTCCCAGCAAAAATTCAATTTAATCGAACTCTGTCGGAAATTAACTTATTTCTGTACATTATCGTTCAAAAGAAATGCTAGTCGCGTCTTTTACGACACCGTAAGCCCGCGCTGTACTTCGTAGAAGAACGAAAAACAAAGGAAATGTAGTTGGTAAACACACTTTTTGAACAGAAATGAAGTTCACTGAGAACTTAAACCCGAGAAAACTTCAAATATGTGACATTTATTGCCTAAAAAGCCATGTGCGAAGAAATACTAAATTCTGAATTTTTGGTCGTAATGGTGGCCGTTCAAAAAAAGTTGAGCTTGAACTTTCTTCGGAGAAGAGTACGTTTCCTTGCGATAAATAAGGGCATTTGCTGTCAGATGCGATTGTTAACCGTCCGATGTACGACTAGTAAGTCTAAAAGCCGGTCAAACACGATTATTAAGGAGTTCGTACGCGATTAATAGTCGTACTTACCACGATTATTAATCGTGATAGAAGACGCTTTCAGACTATTTATCGGAAGAGATGCCATTTGCGATTCATAGTCTTATTTAAAGGACCTTTAAGCCAAATAATCCTAAAATTTTCACTCCGGAAATTAATAAAAACCTGTTCAAAGCTATCCGTACTTGCATTAGAAATGATCTATGAAAGCAATGGTTCTCGAAATGCTCCGAACGCACACGCAAATCTTTTGGAAGAAACGTCCTTTCAATGGCATGAATCATGCACGTCAATAAATGTGGTATTTTGGCAGGGGATCCTGCTTGGTTTTTACCGGACTAGAGCACTCGAACGCTTCGCAATTAGCCATTTTGCTAGGGAAAACCCTTGGATAACCCCAACTACGAAAGTACGGAGCAACCATTACACGTCATCAACCCAAAATGCCTTGCGCACCTAAAAAGATGGAGAACGCGGGTAGTTCGAAGTTGCCGTGAAGGCCAGTTTTGAAGGCCGAAAAAAAATTAACAAGGTTAGAGGTATGATAGAGAACAGTATGCATGTAGAATATGCATACTAACGTTGAGGCATGAAGTTTTATCTAACTAAAAAGGAGATTTAGACTATGGCACCTTAAAGGTGGCCTCATGGTTAGTGCGCTCGACTCCGGATCGAGTGGTCCGGGTTTGAACCCTGGCCGGGGTCATTGTGTTGTGTTCTTAGGCAAGACACTTTACTCTCACAGAGCTTCTCTTCGCCCAGGTGTACAAATGGGTACCAGCAAATATGCTGGGGGTAACCCTGCAATGGACTGGCATCCCATCCAGGGGGAGTAGCAATACTCCTAGCCGCTTCATGCTAAAGGAAACTGGAGTTAAGCACCGGCCCCATGTGCCACATGGGTCTGTATAAACGCTATACTTTACCTTAAAGGGGGATTTGCAAATAACCTCTTAGAGTTTAACTGTTAAAGAGATACTTTGGACATAATAAAGACACATTACCTCCATTAAGCGTCTTCATAATTTTCTTGTATGATCCCACTTCCTCTGGGGCCAACAAGAACGACACTCAGACCTTCCCTGCTTACTCTAGCTGTCCGTCCATTGCGGTGAATGTAAAGCTGTTAACGAACACAGAGAAAGAATTTAGGAACGCAGAATCACATGAGATGGTTGCGCTTAAGTTAATACTTACATTGTGGTTAGATCATTACACAACAGTTCACTATTAAATGAGATACAACTGAGGACGATAAACAATGACAAGCTGCTCCTCTCATATAAACTGCATTTGGAGAACAGAGTCAATTTTTTTTCCTAAATCAAAACTCATTAACTTAAATGAATTACATTTTGATTTCGGTAGGTGAACCTCACACATTAACTCAAATCGGAAACAAAACAAAGATTTAGAAAATGAAGATTTAGTTATAAGTAAATAAATGCAATAAAATAAATTTAGAGGTTTCTGGCTGAGCTTCTCTTACAGTTGAGACTTGTAGCCCACACCTTGGTCAACGCGCATGGTTGGTTGAAGCAGCGTGACTTCCGAAGCCTTTTGTCAGGGTAGAGTTTTGAGGAGAATGAAAGCACTGCCGCCAAAAAGCAATCGCTCCCGTTCCTGCCTGCCGCACAGGCTAACCAACTGCACAAGCTAACCAACCGTACACACATACTTACACGTACTTACATCAAGGTCCTTCGGAACTTGATAGTGAATCACATGCTCAACAGCTGGTATGTCCAAACCTCTCGCAGCCACACCTGTAGCCAATAAGTAAGCCACTCGCACTTTGCTTAAATCTAACAGGCAAGAAAAAAATCAGAAAAAATTTCATTTGCTGGCGTACTTCCTATCTAGCTTTAAATATTCTCCGAGGGAGGAGAGGGGCGGGTTTTAATCAGTCAAGGCGACCCAGTTATAGTCTATAAATAAAGTAAATTCTATTGGTCGGTTAGTTCGTAAACTATACTCTCTGTATGTTTTGTAGTTCTCCTTCGATTTCACTTGGTACACCTCCATGGATCATGTTCCTAGACAGTGCGGTGTACGTGTCGATGCATTTGGCTCAAACCAACAATAAAAAGTAGTAAAAATTGTATCCTGGATCTTGAAGTGTTTCTCTTCCTTGTCAGCTCAACTATTACAAACCTTCTCTTCAATTACACATGAGATCTTTGCTTCTGTCTACGGTTCCTCTCTTGTTGGTGACATCGATAATTTTACAACTGTTCTTCAGCTGCCCAACTTTGTCCATCGGTGACATTAAAAACGTAAAATACAAAGAGTATTCCTGTTAACGGAAGAACACAAGCCGATCAACTTAATCGTGTTTAACTAGGATGTTAGATAACAAAGACAAAAGCAAAACAACACAATACAAGCTTCGACACACTTCATAAAGCAGCAAATTTTCGGGTTTTAAATGATGGATTATTTAAAACATTTCATTCCTTAGTAATAGCTGATAAAATACGTTGATACTATCTCTAGCTTCTATTACTCTGAGTCAAATATGCCGTGATTTACCAAAGCCTTCTTCGCTTGTGATCTTCTTTTACTTTCCTTTCCTCTTAAACGACTTTGGAAGAGTTAAAGTTGCAGAGAAAATAAACTTCTGTAGATGTCTTCGCTTTGCAGTTCCCTCATCTTCATCATAATCACTGCGAAAAGGAAACGTTAAAGTTAAAATTTGATAAAAAGAGAGTCATTTACCTCAGTTTACAAGTTGACAGTCATGAAAACCATTAATTTCAGAAAGAGAAGGCTGAAAGAAATTGAAGCTCCGATGGAAATTGAAGTACATTGCCTCTTTCTTTGAATGAGCTCCAATATAGAAGATAATTCTTGAAAGTGGCCTTGCTCGACCATTCGGTCTGCCTCGTCAATCACAAGATATCTCAAGTGCTCCAAACGGCATGCTCTTAACCCTAAAATTAAACGCCGCCAGAAGATATCTCTAGAATCATCCATTTGATAGAAAGAGGCTACACTCCAATTTCACCGTTTTCAAAAAAAACGCCCGGCACTGATGTTTACAGAGCAGTAGAAAATGCTTACAGCTGTACTTATCATTTTTGACGGCGTTTTACGAACGGAAAAACTTACACGACATTGGAAATCCAAATTCATGCTGAAAACTACACAGGACAACCGATCTCATGGGAAACATACCTACATGTACAAGTGTGTGTTGACTGTTTCAGATCTCTAAAAGAAAGTGAATCAGTGCAACTTATGATACATGAGGTACTTACCTCGGAAATCAAATCCCACGGTCTTCCCGGGTGGCTACTATTATCTCAGGACACTTGTTTAAAAGCCTCTGCTGTTTTTGAGGTGCCATTCCTCCAACCACAGCAACAATCTTGAAAAAAAGGAATTGTTTACTGATTCAAATGATTTTGAGGTACTTTGTTTGGTGGGTATTTCTCCGATAAAAGATAAAGTTGAAACAGGACTAGAAGGGGTGGCAAGGGAGTGGAGGGTAGGGGTTAAATGGTACATCATAGGGGCTGGGATTGTAATTCTCTGAACAAAAGGGTTTTATATACTTTGCTGGTGAAGGTACCAAAAAACAATAGAGTTTATGTTTGAGGGAATAACAATGTTTTCAGCTCTAACTCATCATTATTTAAATTGCTTTAAAGCCTATTGTGGCTACGAATTCATGTTTCCCCCAAAAAATTAAAAAATGCTTTCCAAACAAGAGATAGGTTTGCATTCTGCTCCACTGAAAAGAGGAGTATTGAAGGCTCAGGAAACAAAATTGACTTGGGCCAATAAAAATAAAGAAATAATTGAGTTTCTAACAATGGGAAAACAGAAACTAACTGTGGAGATGACTTCACAAAATTGTCAATTTAAGTACATGATGTTACCTCTAAAGATGTGTGTTTTGCAGCCTGTTTAAGATGATTCTTTATTTGTATAACCAATTCTCTGGTTGGTGTCATTATCAACGCCAGGAGTGGTTTCTTGAGCTTGGATGTTCCATTACCAGTTTCTGTGGCTTCTGTAGCATTATTTTTGGTAGTATTTTCTGTAGTTTCACCTGCTTCTTGATTGGACTTGTGGCCCAGGATATGGGTGAGAATTGGAATCCCAAAGGCTAGTGTTTTACCCCTGAACCCTAGTAAATACATAAAATTGTTTTAATTAATACCCTTAAATAATAACCTCCTCAAAAACCAGCCATTCCTGGAAGCTAAACTTCTCCCAAGTGATTTTATCATAACTTCAACAGACAATTTCAAGGCATTATCCGACAAATGATATGAGAACTATGAAACTTAGAACTTGAAGGGACTTATCTTGACAATCTTAATGTAATACACATTTTTGTATAATTAATGTTCCATCAACCAACTATAGGAAGATATAGAATGCCTACATATAGAAGGAAGAACTATTACATTAGTTCTTAAGAGAGCAAAATTTAACCATCAGTCAGTCAGTCAGTCAGTCAGTCAGAGCCCTCTCTCAAGAGGTACATCATACACATACTTTCAGCTCAACAGCTCTCCTCAAGAGTGCTTTTACAAAAGTCATATTTATAATTATTCAACAATCACTTATTTACTTAGACATTAATTCAGGTCAAAGACCAGCTCTAAAGTAACAGAAACTGTTTGCTATAATGTGTGGGAAAGTCTTCTAACACATAAATGAGCAAGGTGTACATCATAGTAGACACATGTACATGTTGAAAATTTTTTTTTTCCTCTCTCTCTCCCTCTCCAAAAAAAAAAAGGATTCTTCAAAATAGTTGTGAAACCAAGTACACAAACAGTACACATAAAAAAGGAGACCTCCACCAATCTAACTGCTGTGATTCAACTCACTGTTTCTGCTGCACCAATGATGTCCCTGCGGTGGAATATTGCAGGTGGAAGGGAGAGTGTCTGTATAGGGGTTGGTGTAGTAAAACTTTGTTCACTGAGTCCTCTCTGAACTTCTTTGGGAACACCAAGGACTTCCCAAGCACTCATATCTACCATGGGCTCTAAAGTTTAGTTCAGTCAAATAAATGGTTTAGCTATAAAATATGATTGCATCTTAAACTCATAGTGTTAGTGGGAAATATCATTTTATTACAGTTGAACGGAAAGGGTTATTTTTACCTGTATAGATATGAAATATGTTTATAAAGGTTTCATAATCTAAATTAATAAATACTTTATTAATAAATAACAATACAGTAATAACAAACTTATAAGTAAAATTACATTATTTATTACACCCATTTTGAAATCACTGGTGGTCCCTGTAATCTGATTGGCTCTAATTGATGCGATTTATTCACAAATCGCATCATTTTTTGCCTTAAATCGCATCTTTATTCCAGCAAATGAGGTGGCTACACTAAAAACAAAAGAACCAATCAGATTTCAAGGCTTGTTTAAAGTAACCAATCAAATTGCAGGAAAATGAAAGACAAAGAGAATCACATGGTAAATTTTGCAACTTTTGTTTCCAAAACTCTTACTTTTCCCCCCAAAAAATGGATGAATTTAATTTCAGACCAGCTCAGTACTGCATCAATAAAATATTTGAACTTACCAAGTCCTGTATTTGGGTGATTTCAAAATGGATGTAATAAAGTGGTAATTGAACCTCGTGTCGTGCAATTTTGGTCTGAAATCATACTTGTGATTTCAAATTGAACTCACACTGTGCACTTGTTTGATTTTGAAATCACGCATATGATTTCAGCCCAAATTGCACTCCACTTAGTTCAATTACCATTATTTATAGAAAATCATATCTTTGCCAACATAATATTATCTACACAAAATGTGTTTGATTCTCTTCTTAATAATAAAATTCAAGGACAATCATTGGAGTAAAATTGTACTTTGTTTTGTGCATTTCTCATCCATAATTCCTAAAATTAAATCTTACCTGGAGGATCTTCCACCAGTCTATTGTCAGTGACCATTTCTACTCTGATTTGCTCTTCTGACTGGGCTTTACTTTGGGCCTTGTTTTTCTTTTTCCTCTTCTTTTTTCCCTTTGTCTGTTGGTTATTCTTTGTGCTTTTTCAAGTTGTGTGGATGGTGTGGTAACTGTTTGTTCCAGATTATCCTGAAGATTTAAATCAAAAGACAATACTATGTAGCTTTTTTTTTTTCTGCGAGCCAAACTTTTAGAGAAAACCAAAAAGAAGCTTCTATTCTTAGATATACATAATTGTGCATGTATGGGTAAAGACTGAAAAAATGCATGAGCCCTTGGGACAATGCAGTCTGCTGTCTTCAAAAAATTTAGGACAAACTGCTCTCAAAATGATTTTGATCAATTGCTGTATTTCCATGTAGTTCTTGTGGTGAGTGTTATTGTTGTTGTTGTTTTTGTTTGTTTGTTTCTTTTCTCATTTAAGGTATGACTGGCAGTTATCTTAGTTTTGATTCTCATGTCCAATACACCCAATCTGACTCAGGAGACAAGTCATTCTATTTGAGTCAGGTTGAGGATTATTATTAAGCGTCTTGAAAATCGACTTATGGTAAGACATCTCCACCTTAAGAGGCACGGTTTGTTTCAGATTTCCAGTAGCACAAGATGACTTAACCACTAATTAACTTCTGGTGGGTCGATTCGTGAACGACTCAACCCAATTTTGGATGTATTGGACAACCCTCAACATTTGGTAATTAAAGATGAGTTATAATAAAAAATAAATTTAAAAAAATTTAAAAAGACAATTTTTTCCCAATTTCTCGTAAAATACAAGGGTAATTTCACCACGTGCTTGAAGTGAATCTTACAGTTGTATCTTCTAAGCACTTTTAAGCAATTTACCTCCTGCAGCGGCCGTTCTTTTATTTTCTTCTTCTGAGCTGGTCACCGGCACCAATTCCTGCTAGCTCTTCTGGATGATAATCTTCCATGACTTCAAGGGACACAAATCCATCCATTTCGCCCGCAAAGAACGAAGGATCGTCCAATTCTATTGGTTCCCATTTTCGCTTCTTCCCTTTCGAATTCTTCTCTACCATTATGGAGCAATGAACAAAGAGCTTTAGTTGAGAAACTGAATGTAAACGCTCTTTCAAAATAACAAACAACCGTTCTGGTTAATCGCTAGAGAATTAATAAAAACACTCTCACGTCGTCCGCCATTATGGATTACACGCCAGAGAAGGACTGGATAAGAAATTGTCACGCGCGCCTGTTCAAACGGGAGTCATGCGCTGATTTATGCTATATGGCTTTTCTCCCTTCGCCGAGGTAATTTAAACCTTTGTGAAACGTGAATGAAAAGACTAACATGGCGAAAGAACACCGTACATTCAAAGAGGAGTGCATTTATATTGAGCGCTTAAACGAAAACTCGTTTCTTATCAAGAAAGGCTTTGTCCCAAACATGAAGGTAAGTGAACGCGCGCCAAACATCGGATCGGAAGTTCAACTCCAGCTGAGTAGCGTGCGCGTCAAAATACACGTCTAACGATATAATACGTGAGAATGTTGATAATAAGCTATGGTCATCGAAATAGATCCCCTTACACCTGCCATATCCGTCAAAGTAATTTCCTTCTTTGAAATAAGTTTTGTCACAAGGAAAATTGTTTCTGGGACAACTGGGCCCAGGAACCTTTTCTGCCCACGTTATGATGAAATCCCCGCCCCCTGCCCCCCTCCACGTCTCTTATGTCAGAACTGTTTTCTTTTTTTTTTATTTCAATCAGTCAATTCACAAACTACAGTCAAACCTGTCTTAGGTGGCACCGTATTGAGCATATGCACTGTATTAGATGCCATATTCCCATGGATGACTGCTTAATACAGGGTTGACTGAATTGGACAAATATATTTTGTCCTCACTTCCTCCATCAAACCCAGATTATATCCATTATTGTCCCCATCTCCCCTAATTTCTCTCCTTTTCCCCTAGTTGCAGACTGTGGTGTTTTGCTGGAAATTGTTGATGCAAGAATGTCCTAATTAGTACTGGATTAGGATGTTCTGATTAATTAGTACTGTAACGTCACGTGATAGTTGTTATCCAATAGGATGCCAGATTTTACATGTGCTCGCGATCTCATACTCGAGTCTTCAGTGAACCGACTTATGGAAAAAAGTATCGTTTGTTTAAGTTTACAAGACCCGTTTGTTGCTGTACAAAGCCACAACGTTACAAGTACCATGGACAAATTTTTACATACTGTTTCAGATTCAAGACTTGAGGTGTACATTGCAACTATTCAACTCTAAAGTTCAAACTATTCTTTTCTTTTTTTTCTTTAAAGGTTGAAGGTATCTTAGATATATAAACGAGCTGCTCGAAAAACTAATATTTGATGAGCTGAAGCACTGGGCTGGAACTCAAGGTACAGTACTCTAAACATTTGAAATATAATACTGTTGTATTTGCTGCATTTGTCTTATTCCTTTTATACAATTAAATTAAATTGCTCTCCATGTATTGGTGGTTTCCTTCCTGGTGTAAAGCAGATTGCAAATGTTGCAGCTTTGCCTGGAATTGTTGATGTAAAAATGATCATAACTTTTTCTTGTTGAAATTACAACTTAGTTTAATTGAGACTTGTTCAATCCTGGGCCCAGTTGTTCGAAGGCTGATAAGTGCTAACCCAGGGTTAAATTATAATCAGAGTATGTTTAATCCTTTGTTTAAATGCCTTTTAAAATAATTTACCATAGTTTTTTTCGGGCATCCAATCATCAAATTGCAGACTAAAGGAATTGTACATGTAGACTGAATTTCATTTGAAAGCTTTCAGATATGAAATCAGATTTCACACTGACCATTAGTTATCTAAACTCAGCTTTTAACAAACTGACCCTGTTCTTTTGGGAAGCAAAGAAAGTATAAAGTGGAGATGACAGAAGAGTTTCTTGCTATACAGTTTGTGTTTCCATAGAATTGTACACAAAGATTTCACTTAAAGTGGTGCCAAATAGAGCATCCAGTTATCCAGTTAGATCCAGTTAGATCCAGTTATCCCATGCACAATCTTGAGAACACATGCAAATCAGTTTTTCCACTTTAAGCAAAAGCCTTTAGAACTGTTTTTCTAGGAGTTTTCTTAAGTTACTGTTTATTTCCCTCAAAAAACAGGAAAACTGAAAGTGAAAAAAGGCAAATAGAATTAAAAGGCTACGTTCATTATTTAAACTTTATGTGCTGTTATTTACCTCGTCAATGGAGTTCCTAGGCCGCTCATGCAGATCACAACACAATGACTCAGATTAATTCTAGCCATTCTAGAAGTAACATTCCCTTACTTCTTCTTTGCTTATGGACTACAATGCTTTTCCTGTCACTTTGATACCTATTTTTCGACGGTAAACCCTGTTTGAACAGGAAAAGAAAGCTGTTTAAAAGTGAAATCTGAGTAGAAGGAATCGCTTTCTACCATCGGAACACCATTGAAACACCATACAAACTTGTTTCCAATACCTCTAAATATGGTGCTGCAACCTTGTCAACCCTATTTTTCATGATAATCATAATGATTTGCATATTTAGTTCAGGGCATGAAATTGCACCTAACACAGGTGCCAATGTGACTAAATTTTTCACTTTGGCGACTAAATCCTAAAAATCAATCACCAAATTGGTGACTAGCATGTTTCATCATAACCTTACCGAGAGATTTAGGGAATTAAAAAGATTTGCAAAGATAAATCCATGGCAAACTTCCTCGTTAAGTTTGTTTTCAAAACACAGCACGTGCATCTCAATCAATGACTTGATGCCAGCTTGGACTTAGGTGAGCTTGAATGTTATTTATCATCCATCCTAGTGTTCACTTTGTAGCACTTTAAAGATCTTTTCCCAAGTGTTGATATATTTCCCTAGTGTTGATATATTCCATTTTTACACTCACAATTCCAGGCAAAGCTGCAACATTTGCAATCTGCCTTACACCAGGAAGGAAACCACCAATACCTGGAGAGCAATTTAATTTAATTGTATAAAAGAAATAAGACAAATGCAGCAAATACAACAGTATTTTATTCCAAATGTTTAAAGTACTGTACCTTGAGTTCCAGCCCAGTGCTTCAGCTCATCAAACATTAGTTTTTCGAGCAGCTTGTTTATATATCTAATATATATTAACTATACTGATGTTGTCTTTGCAAGGGTCAGGTACAATTTTGAGTAATGTAAAGTACCTGTGTGTATACCTTCTCTAGGTAACCACACTATAAGAGATAAATTGAAGACATGAAATTTAGATTTCACCAAGTATGGCATAAAATATATCTCCAAATGTTGTCTCTGCAACGGACAAAATACTGAGGAATGACCTGTAATTTGAATATTTAACCAAGTTTGAACTGTATGCAGTTGAACCTCTATTAAGTGTCTATCACCCTTTAATAGATATTTTCAGAATCAACTCTATGCACACTGAATAGTTAAATGGTGAAATATTTCTTGTTTTTGAATTTACAAAATGCTAATTAGACAACGTCAACCTGGGAATTTGCCATTATTTCTATGCCAACTTACAATGTGCAGTATACAGCTTGAGGATAATTAATTTGATAAATACAAAAAATAAACTGTGGATAGTCAATTGATTGGTAAAAAATATTACTTGGAGGTGAAAACAAGTAGTTGTATAATAAATGATTCCCATGTTGACATCATTAATTAGCATTTTGTAAATTTAAATCTATATAGCTCAATAACGCAACGTTCAAAACAAATATTTCACCATTTAACTGTTCAATGTGTGTAGAGTTGATTCTGAAAATATATTTGTATTTAAGGGTGACAGGCACTTTTAGTGGCCATACTTAAATCAGTTACAGCCACTAACTATAACAGTCATTGTTTAATTCTAGAACTGGAGTGTCCAGGCAGCAACTTCCAGACATGGTCTGTTCTCGTTATTCAGTGGTGACAAACCTCTTCTCAGTTGCCATGATTTAAATATTGTGTATTGTGTCAACCCAGAAGAATCAGGGAGCAGAGCCTTATTCAAATAAATCATGGTGAGTTTGTTGTACTTCCTTAGTGATCACCCAACTATTCATTTCAGTAAAGCTGTTCAGATGGCGTATGGCAGCTAAAATTTGTGTTAGTGGTTTCTATGCTTTGCATTGTTTAATTAAATGGGGTGAGTGGAATAAAGCATTGAGTGACTTCTGATCAACTGCTAGATTCTCCTTCCAGTTTATATTGTATATGCTCGTGTAACGTAGGGAGAATTTGGCTATAAATCAGGAGTCACCTAGGGCCTTATTCCAAACATTATTTTGAATAAGGCTCTAAGTGACTCCTGATCTGAAGCCAAATTGTTACATGAGCATATACAAGACAAACTGGAAGGAGAATCTAGTAGTTGATCAGAAGTCACTTAGGGCTTTATTCCAATCACCCCTTCATTTCGCATTGTAAAATTTTCGAACACTACAAACACATGAAATTTGCTAAATTTTCGGTCATTTTACTAAAAAAAAAAAGGTCACTTAGAAATTTCTGGACAACAATTTTCAGCTGGCATTTTTCGGAAAAATCACATTTTATTCCAAAGAATTTTCGGCTAAGTAAATTTTCAGCTAGAACATGTGAACAGCTAATATTTTTCTAACGATCTGTAGGTTTGTATATGTTTGATAAATACATGCGGCGCAATAATTTTTCCCACATACAGTACCGACAAGAACTGTCCCCCACTAAAATTGCACCAAAAGCAGACCTGAGCAGAACATACTTTCTGAAGTGAACCCAACCAAACTTCAAGCCCATATATAAGCTATATAGGTATGTGCCGCCTAATAGGGTCGGGTTTTTGAGCCTCTGGATCCATAAATAGGGTGTCTTATTCGCGATTCTGGGTCTGCTCATGTTTGCACTGATGTTTGCATGTGAAGTGGGGGTTAGTTCCAGTCGGTACTGTAACTGCAACGACAATCCAATCGGAGGGTTCAATCGACGGTGAGGAAAAAGGCCTCACTACTCTATGTACAGTACCTCTCGCGTATACGTTAGCTGCGCAGGCGAATTTCATACGCTCCGACGCAGGGTAGTCAGACGCGTATATACGATTTTTCTGCATGCTCGGTCGAAAAAAATGCGCGATTCATGTGCCTTTGTTATTCAGTGCTACAAGTTTCCTTTGTATTTCATTGTTGTATGAACAAAGGACTTCTAAGTTTGAAAAAGCGGTGAGTAGACAACGGAAAATTTACATAATGAAATAAAAGCTATCGTGTTACACTCTCGAATGTCGCGTCGCTTTGCGAATTTTTCGGATAACGTGTAGTAGTAGTAGATTGATGTTAAGCCTTCTGATCACCAACTACATTTATGATTTGTAACGTTCATATTTGTCATATTACAGAATATCCAAACTGAGCAGGAATTGTCCCCGAGCCCACCGACGTGCTGGCACACATTGGCTATGTTCCTTGAACAGTCATTCAGTACGCTAAGTACCTTCTAAGAGGCAACAGTAACGTTGAACTTTTCATGGTCAAGGCAATTACTAATATTCTACAAGTACTAGAAGACGAAGCACTGTAGATTCCTGATAGGTGCGAACGTGTGCGCATCAGGTCACTAGCGATGATAAATACTTGCAAGGCCAGTGATCACCATCAACCTTTTCCTGGTCTTGTTTGAAACCACCAGGATTCGATTTGAAAGAAGTATCCGTCGTTAGCCCTCTGATTGAAGAAGCTGTTGTGCAGTTTACGTTGGAAAATCCTAATTATTTGTTGGATGTAGTAAGTATTAATTTTTTTTACTCTGGCGATCACATCCTGGGGTGGGGGGCCGATACTGAACTGACAGGGGGGCTCGGCCGTACCATTTTGAGTGTAAAATTCCAGATATGGTACTATTTAGGGGGGCTGTTGAAAAAAACAATTTTATAATAACTTGGTACCATTTAGGGTGTCAATTGATTACTAATTGGAATCTGGTTACCGGTTACCGATTTCAGACTTTCAGTTACCGGTTACCGATTTCAGAATTTCAGTTACAGGCTACCGATTCCCCGTTTGGTAAACAGACAACATTTTTTCCATGCAAAACATTATAGTAAATGTGCTCGACTAGTACCTCGTCTATTAACAACAAATTAAGCGCTAGAATGAGCAGACAACCAAAACATGTCGAATTCTTCATGACACATCTGAAATGGGTAACCGATAACCAGATGCCAATAAGTCAGTCAACTGATTTGTCATGTAAAGCAGAGTACAAAAATATCATTCTCGATCAGCTTTTCAGTCAACTTACAGTGCCTTTTAGGGGTCATTTTTAGGGCCACAGCCGAGCCCCCCTAGTGTCAGTTCAGTATGGGAGCCGAACTCTCCCCCCCCCCCCCCCCACGGGGAACAAATCTGCAGGTTTATAGGCTGGTTAACCGCGGTCAAACGAGAGAAATTTGCAAAAGTTAAACAAAGTACTTAAAGGTTAAGGTTTTCACTGTTTATTAAAGTTTAATATATTGCCAACATATTTACCAAAATTTACCAAACGTTTTGAAAGTTTACCAAAAAAGTTCTAAATACTGTGAACCACAGAATCGTCGGCGCCATTTGTCAACATAATTTGGATCAGGCGCAAAGAGTTTTTGTCAGTTTTCCACGGAAAAAAAGATCATCTTTTTGAGAAAAATTAAAAGGTAATAACGTGAACTAATTTTTTTACTCATCCTTGCTTACATTAAATAAAATCCCACTGAATAAAACGAAAACCGCGTTGGACGTTTGACCGCGGTCGACTAGGCTGGATACATCCCTGCGTTTGGTAAATGAAAGAAATAATTATGGCTTCATTCACTATTCATTCAGCGTGTCACGCCCCAAAGCATTAAGTATAATGAGGCTCCATCTCTTCATCAGGTGGATACCATAAAAGGCCTATCTGGGAGACCTGGCAACTTAGTTGGCAAATATTGGGAGAAGCTGATATTTAGCAATCTCAAGGAATGTGTGAAAAATGAGTATTCCTTCAAGGAAGAGGCATGTGGTTCCACTGCTGCTAGCTCCTACTTAAATTTGTGTGGACATCAAAGCAAAAGAGATACTAGAAAATCGATAGAACAGATAACTAGAGATAAATATAGTGCAATGATAGTCCATTGTCCTAATACCAGCGCCTTTGACTTTGTCATCGTTGATAAATGCAACAAAATTCATGCCACTCAGGTAACCGTTCAAACCGCTGCGAAGAAATGTAACGACAGTGACTTTTTCAAGACTGAAAATATTCACTTTACGTATTTACTAGCGCCTTGTGAGGTCGACTTCGACGCTATTAAATTGAAATAAAAGTTATATGATGCATATGTGGCGTATGGTTTGCGAATTGTAAATGGAGCCAGTTTCCTAACTCAGAAAGAATACTTTTCAATTTGGCGTCGAAGCCACTTGAAGATCTGTCTTGGCGTGGATTAATAAAACGGGTATTTCATCTGCAACATGTTTGTTGCCCATGTGGAAAAAGGGACTTCCCTTCTCATGAGGCTTGAAAGAAACCACCCCGAACATACGGAAGATTGATGAAGTTTACCCCCTCTTATTTTGAAAACGAGCGCGATGACCCCCATTTTTATTTCATTTATTTCTGAACTTCACTTGTATCGATCTTTGTTTATGCAAAGTTTCAAAACTTTTCTATAAGTCCCGAACTACCTTAAAATATATGCATAAATATATATACTAATTAGACTTTTATATATTATTTACGTGCATATAATGAGACGAGATTATACAAACATTGACATGTGTCAAGAACTACAAAAGTAGTTCAAATTATCTACCGCCAGAGCGAACAAAACAAAACGAGGTCTGAATTGCCCTTATTCATAATGACGTCACATCAAAACAATCTATTGTTTAAACGCAAAGAATCATGGTCGCGGGAGGGGGACAAAACAGCAACAACACAAAAAAAATTGAGATAAAATTCGTTTTATAGACCAAAGAAAAGCGGTGACAGCCATCAAGTGCAATAAATATTGCTTATTAAACATTAGTGCATCTCATATTTGAGTCCCAGGCCATTTGAGTTCAAACTTTTCTTACCAGAGCGAGTTTTAAACGAATTACTATTGTTCTAGACAATTCTGTCCCCCTCATAGACAAGCCCTGACGTCATCATGAAGAAGAGCACTTAAAAACAATAAACGGAATATTTATTGGACGCTAAAAAGATTGACAGTGAAATGAAGAACTTTCTTAATTAAGCATTGTAATATAGCATTTGTAGCATAGATTTCGTAATTCCAAAAAAGTATCCATCCCACTCCCCCACGGATGGATTTTTTCACACAGCCCTTTGAAAACAACTTTTACAGATTAGAGAGTTACTCTAAACCTCACCCTGAATGGATAATTTGGGAGGAAACTCTTTTGAGTTCCTGTTAGTAATTTTCATAATAATAATAATAATAATAAAATACAGCGACCCTCTAATACACGAACTACTTTTCATGTCAAACACTTAAAGGCATAAATAAAGAATTCGCGAAAAGAGAAGCCTTACGCCGCCTAAGGCCAAATTCGTCACGCTCAACGTTTAATAAAAACGTACTGAGTTTCAAATATGCTTAAAGAATAAAGAATATCGAGAATAGGGTTTTGAGAAACATATCTTTGGAGTTATTTTATGCGGGAGAGAGACAATATACCTGAAAACGACAAAAATAGCGCGCACAAATGAAAATGTTACCTTTGGTAACACAATCTCATCCGGCTGTGCCAAGACCAAGAACATACAGATGGAGAAATGACACCTTAAAAGTAATCTTTATTATCACATCGCAAACAAAAGTCATTAAATAATATCCTAATAACGGCTAAGCTTTCAGGTTAGCAGATTTAAAAGCGCAAGCGAATGGCAGGACTCGCACAAGCCTATCAACACCTTTTAACCATCGACAACCTTCTGATTTCCGGTTATCCGACTTGTCGCCGTGTGCATTGTAGACTGTTATTTATTGGCAAGCGACTCCTTTTGTTGCTCTAATTCATCTGCCCTTCATTCAGTGATCAAGTAAGTAGATTTACCATACAACACTCGCCATTAGTGAATTCCCTTTTACCTAGGAAAGTAGATTTACAACACGATTGAGTATACGATAGTAACACTGTGTAACGCAACAATAGGCCTGCTCTTAGCCATAATCGGTCTCAAACACTATCACTGAAAAACCGACAAACATATGTACCGTTTGAGAGCGTTTGGTCAGAGCTGTTGAATTAGAATCAAAGCGGCCATCCAAATCTTTTAAAGGCTCCAAACTACGACGTACATCAAACTTGACCTTCTCGAAAACCGGTCTAAAATTACTTACTGAAGAACAGTGACTGCGTTTGTCCTTGGGAACCGTAGAATACGGGACAAATACGTACAAAAAAATACTTTTGAAAATTCAGAATAAATCAATTTACATTTATCTATAGTGAAAGGAAAAATGAACGGCCTAACTTTTACGGAATGTTCAGTCAAAATCTACCGATTTTTGCTGCTTTCACCGCCATATTGAAAATGAAGCTACCACAATGCAACGCAATCGGAGTGCGCACACCGCCTGCATCTTACCGAATAGACGTGACATTGTAAACTCTAGAAAACTATTCAGCAACAAAAATCGAAAATGGTTTTTCCATTCCGATAGATTATTCTCCCTATTGCCCCTGAAGAACCCACTTCGCAAACACACTAGTTTTGGAAAGAGTCTAGCAGCGTGGAGAAATTTAGCCGCGACTCAAATATTTCTCTTTCTGTTTCACTCATCTAAATGCAACGCATTTTTTGGTTTGGATTACGTATCTCTAAACAAAAAAAAAGGCCTTTCAAAAAAAGTTGACCTTGAACTTTCTTCGGAGAAGAGTACGTTTCCTTGCGATAAATAAGGACATTTGCTGTCAGATGCGATTATTAACCATGCGATGTACGACTATTAAGTCTAAAAGCCGGTCAAACACGATTATTAAGGAGTTCGTGCGCGGTTAATAGTCGTACTTACCACGATTATTAATCGTGATAGAAGACGCTTTCAGACTATTAATCGGAAGAGATGCCATTTGCGATTCGTAGTCTTATTTAAAGGACTTTTAAGCCAAATAATCCTAAAATTTTCACTCCGGAAATTAATAAACACCTGTTCAAAAATATCCGTACTTGCATTAGAAATGATCTATGAAAGCAATGGTTCTCGAAATGCTCCGAACGCACACGCAAATCTTTTGGAAGAAATGTCCTTCCAATGGTATGAATCATGCACGTCAATAAATTTGGTATTTTAGCAGGGGATCCTGCTTGGTTTTTACCGGACTAGAGCACTCGAACGTTTCGCAATTAGCCATTTTGCTAGGGAAACCCTTGGATAACCCCAACTACGAAAGTACGAAGCAACCATTACACGTCATCAACCCAAAATGCCTTGCGCACCTAAAAAGATGGAGAACGCGGGTAGTTCGAAGTTGCCGTGAAGGCCAGTTTTGAAGGCCGAAAAAAATTAACAATTAATTGAGGCATGAAGTTTTATCTAACTAAAAAGGAGATTTAGACTATGGCACCATAAAGGTGGCCTCATGGTTAGTGCGCTCGACTCCGGATCGAGTGGTCCGGGTTTGAACCCTGGCCGGGGTCATTGTGTTGTGTTCTTAGGCAAGACACTTTACTCTCACAGAGCTTCTCTTCACCCAGGTGTACAAATGGGTACCAGCAAATATGCTGGGGGTAACCCTGCAATGGACTGGCATCCCATCCAGGGGGAGTAGCAATACTCCTAGCCGCTTCATGCTAAAGGAAACTGGAGTTAAGCACCGGCCCCATGTGCCACATGGGTCTGTATAAACGCTATACTTTACCTTAAAGGGGGATTTGCAAATAACCTCTTAGAGTTTAACTGTTAAAGAGATACTTTGGACATAATAAAGACACATTACCTCCATTAAGCGTCTTCATAATTTTCTTGTATGATCCCACTTCCTCTGGGGCCAACAAGAACGACACTCAGACCTTCCCTGCTTACTCTAGCTGTCCGTCCATTGCGGTGAATGTAAAGCTGTTAACGAACACAGAGAAAGAATTTAGGAACGCAGGATCACATGAGATGGTTGCGCTAAAGTTAATACTTACATTGTGGTTAGATCATTACACAACAGTTCACTATTAAATGAGATACAACTGAGGACGATAAACAATGTGTCACTCCCGACTCCCCTGAGTAGGATTTTGTCATTTTTGCGGTCACGTGACCACGCGAGCAATCTTGTTGTATTCGCCAAGTGCTTTCAAGTGCCAGATTTATTTGTTGTTAAATACGGAGTTTACAGAGCTTACTTCGTTTATTTTAAACCGAGAGGCCATACAGTTCGGTAAGTGGACATTTGTGGACATTTGTAAACGTTTTGAAGAACATATAAGACATTGGACATTTATATTTTTTGCAGAAAACCACTGGCATCGCCTTTATGTAAACAAGGAACGTGTCGATTGTGAGTTTTCACTGTGTGCCTCGGATTGTGCAACTGTGTTATATTTTTGTGGTCCGTGGCCGTACGGACTTTGAACATTTGGAGATATTTGTGAATAAACCAGTACGTTATTGACACAATGACAAGCTGCTCCTCTCATATAAACTGCATTTGGAGAACAGAGTCAATTTTTTTTCCTAAATCAAAACTCATTAACTTAAATGAATTACATTTTGATTTCGGTAGGTAAACCTCACACATTAACTCAAATCGGAAACAAAACAAAGATTTAGAAAATGAAGATTTAGTTATAAGTAAATAAATGCAATAAAATAAATTTAGAGGTTTCTGGCTGAGCTTCTCTTACAGTTGAGACTTGTAGCCCACACCTTGGTCAACGCGCATGGTTGGTTGAAGCAGCGTGACTTCCGAAGCCTTTTGTCAGGGTAGAGTTTTGAGGAGAATGAAAGCACTGCCGCCAAAAAGCAATCGCTCCCGTTCCCGCCTGCCGCACAGGCTAACCAACTGCACAAGCTAACCAACCGTACACACATACTTACACGTACTTACATCAAGGTCCTTCGGAACCTGATAGTGAATTACATGCTCAACAGCTGGTATGTCCAAACCTCTCGCAGCCACACCTGTAGCCAGAAGTAAGCCACTCGCACTTTGCTTAAATTTAACAGGCAAGAAAAAAATCAGAAAAAATTTCATTTGCTGGTGTACTTCCTATCTAGCTTTAAATATTCTCCGAGGGAGGAGAGGGGCGGGTTTTAATCAGTCAAGGCGACCCAGTTATAGTCTATAAATAAAGTAAATTCCATTGGTCGGTTAGTTCGTAAACTATACTCTCTGTATGTTTTGTAGTTCTCCTTCGATTTCACTTGGTACACCTCCATGGATCATGTTCCTAGACAGTGCGGTGTACGTGTCGATGCATTTGGCTCAAACCAACAATAAAAAGTAATAAAAATTGTATCCTGGATCTTGAAGTGTTTCTCTTCCTTGTCAGCTCAACTATTACAAACCTTCTCTTCAATTACACATGAGATCTTTGCTTCTGTCTACGGTTCCTCTCTTGTTGGTGACATCGATAATTTTACAACTGTTCTTCAGCTGCCCAACTTTGTCCATCGGTGACATTAAAAACGTAAAATACAAAGAGTATTCCTGTTAACGGAAGAACACAAGCCGATCAACTTAATCGTGTTTAACTAGGATGTTAGATAACAAAGACAAAAGCAAAACAACACAATACAAGCTTCGACACACTTCATAAAGCAGCAAATTTTCGGGTTTTAAATGATGGATTATTTAAAACATTTCATTCCTTAGTAATAGCTGATAAAATACGTTGATACTATCTCTAGCTTCTATTACTCTGAGTCAAATATGCCGTGATTTACCAAAGCCTTCTTCGCTTGTGATCTTCTTTTACTTTCCTTTCCTCTTAAACGACTTTGGAAGAGTTAAAGTTGCAGAGAAAATAAACTTCTGTAGATGTCTTCGCTTTGCAGTTCCCTCATCTTCATCATAATCACTGCGAAAAGGAAACGTTAAAGTTAAAATTTGATAAAAAGAGAGTCATTTACCTCAGTTTACAAGTTGACAGTCATGAAAACCATTAATTTCAGAAAGAGAAGGCTGAAAGAAATTGAAGCTCCGATGGAAATTGAAGTCCATTGCCTCTTTCTTTGAATGAGCTCCAATATAGAAGATAATTCTTGAAAGTGGCCTTGCTCGACCATTCGGTCTGCCTCGTCAATCACAAGATATCTCAAGTGCTCCAAACGGCATGCTCTTAACCCTAAAATTAAACGCCGCCAGAAGATATCTAAGTGTCTTTATTGTTCAAAAGATAAAATTACATATCTTATGTTACATTAAAAAAAAAAGGATGTAAATAAGCTTAGGTGTATCTAAATAAGATAAGTATATACGTGGAAACAAATACAAAAGTCTAATACAGGAAGTACACTTTTACAAAGCTACATTGTACTTAAAAACAATTCTATTAAAAAATGTATTCTTAAAACGGTTTGTGCGAATGGCGGGCATGACAGGGGATTTATTTCTCAAATTATACCTCGTGGTCTTGGTCTCAGGGAAGTAGGCTCTAAGAGGATGGCTCAGGATAGTTGAAACCTTGCGACAAATTTTGTGATCTTGCGTTTTAAGTAAGTCACCTATCACTAATTTCTTGGATATGTAACTACGTTTAAAACAACGATCTAAAAACTGCTGGGCTATAGTTAGCTCTGACTCGGAGGCCCCATGCACAGATAGAGCATAAGTAATATTAGGTAGGACAATGGAATTAAATAAAACATCTACTTCTGCTTGGCTACATCCTTCTTTGCGGAGGCATCTGATAACGTATAAACATTTATTAGCTTTACCTAACTTTTCTTTTAGGTGAGTACTGAATTTGCAGTTCGGCTGAAACGTGAGACCAAGAATGGTTATTGTACTAGTCTGAGGTATGCCAAAAATACTTTTGTAGGCCTCAGCAGTGTGACCTTTTTTATACATAATAAGCTCTTTACATTTAGTAGAATTTGAATTCATTCTATTTTGGCTTGCCCACTGTAAAAACTGATTTATTAAGTCTACAGAGTGATCTTTATAATAATATACCGGAGCAATAATCGTACAGTCATCAGCGTATTTGAAGCCAAGTGTCTCGTTCCCTAATTTAATTTCCAGATCGTTAAGAAATATATTAAACAAATAAGGTCCTGAAACACTACCCTGGGTTGTGCCCTTGTTAACTGTTTTCCAATTACAGACATGATTCCCGAAAATAACTCTTTGTTTTCTATCTCGCAAAAAACCTAACCACCAATTTATGATATACGGGTTAAGTGGTAGACTCTTAAGTTTCTCAGCAAGGAGTTGATGGCTCACAGAGTCAAAGGCCTTACTGAAATCCATCGCGAACATCCGCACTGCCTTGCACTTGGGATCATCAAGAAACTTGCAGATCTTATTCTGTATAAGTAGCAGAGCATCTGTGCAGCTCCCTCCTTCTCTATACGCGAATTGACTATTCAACAGCTGTTCTTCTACCGGCCTTTGGGCGTGAATCTTATAGACTGCCTTTTCCAGGGCTCTTGCTATTACAGGGGTTACGTTGATCCCCGGAAGTCCCCTCTTGCCACTGGAACATCAACTTTTGGCAGTGGGTTTATACTTGCCCTTTTCCACGATCTAGGCCATTGGTGCGTAGCGAGAGACAAATTCCATAGCTTAGTAATGATTGGAGTGAAGATCTCCGCATGGTCTTTCCACACCCAATACGGAATTTGGTCAGGACCAGTTGCAGTCTTCTTTAGAGTACTCAGTGAGTTCCATACATATCGTTCACTAATTTCCGGGACTTTCACCTCAGGACCAATTTCAAGTAACGCGGGCTCAACGTAATCGCCATCCGTACACAGGTCACCGAAATACTCGTTCAAATCTTGAGCGGTCTCTCCATCCAGCCTATCTCTAGAATCTCTAGAATCATCCATTTGATAGAAAGAGGCTACACTCCAATTTCACCGTTTTCAAAAAATACGCCCGGCACTGATGTTTACAGAGCAGTAGAAAATGCTTACAGCTGTACTTATCATTTTTGACGGCGTTTTACGAGCGGAAAAACTTACACGACATTGGAAATCCAAATTCATGCTGAAAACTACACAGGACAACCGATCTCATGGGAAACATACCTACATGTACAAGTGTGTGTTGACTGTTTCAGATCTCTAAAAGAAAGTGAATCAGTACAACTTATGATACATGAGGTACTTACCTCGGAAATCAAATCCCACAGTCTTCCCGGGGTGGCTACTATTATCTCAGGACACTTGTTTAAAAGCCTCTGCTGTTTTTGAGGTGCCATTCCTCCAACCACAGCAACAATCTTGAAAAAAAGGAATTGTTTACTGATTCAAATGATTTTGAGGTACTTTGTTTGGTGGGTATTTCTCCGATAAAAGATAAAGTTGAAACAGGACTAGAAGGGGTGGCAAGGGAGTGGAGGGTAGAGGTTAAATGGTACATCATAGGGGCTGGGATTGTAATTCTCTGAACAAAAGGGTTTTTATATACTTTGCTGGTGAAGGTACCAAAAAACAATAGAGTTTATGTTTGAGGGAATAACAATGTTTTCAGCACTAACTCATTATCATTTAAATTGCTTTAAAGCCTATTGTGGCTACAAATTCATGTTTCCCCCAAAAAATTAAAAAATGCTTTCCAAACAAGAGATAGGTTTGCATTCTGCTCCACTGAAAAGAGGAGTATTGAAGGCTCAGGAAACAAAATTGACTTGGGCCAATAAAAGTAAAGAAATAATTGAGTTTCTAACAATGGGAAAACAGAAACTAACTGTGGAGGTGACTTCCAAATTGTCAATTTAAGTACATGATGTTACCTCTAAAGATGTGTGTTTTGCAGCCTGTTTAAGATGATTCTTTATTTGTATAACCAATTCTCTGGTTGGTGTCATTATCAACGCCAGGAGTGGTTTCTTGAGCTTGGATGTTCCATTACCAGTTTCTGTGGCTTCTGTAGCATTATTTTTGGTAGTATTTTCTGTAGTTTCACCTGCTTCTTGATTGGACTTGTGGCCAAGGATATGGGTGAGAATTGGAATCCCAAAGGCTAGTGTTTTACCCCTGAACCCTAGTAAATACATAAAATTGTTTTAATTAATACCCTTTAATAATAAAAATCCTCAAAAACCAGCCATTCCTGGAAGCTAAACTTCTCCCAAGTGATTTTATCATAACATCAACAGACAATTTCAAGGCATTATCCAACAAATGATATGAGAACTATGAAACTTAGAACTTGAAGGGACTTATCTTGACAATCTTAATGTAATACACATTTTTGTATAAATAATGTTCCATCAACCAACTATAGGAAGATATAGAATGCCTACATAAAGAAGGAAGAACTAGTACATTAGTTCTTAAGAGAGTAAAATTTAACCATCAGTCAGTCAGTCAGTCAGTCCTCTCTCTCTCTCAAGAGGTACATCATACACATACTTTCAGCTCAACAGCTCTCCTCAAGAGTGCTTTTACAAAAGTCATATTTATAATTATTCAACAATCACTTAGTACTTAGACATTAATTCAGGTCAAAGACCAGCTGTAAAGAATCAGAAACTGTTTGCTATAATGTGTGCAAAAGTCTTGTTACACATAAATGAGCTAGGTGTACATCATAGTAGACACATGTACATGTTGAAAAATTATTTTTTTCCTCTTTCTCTCTCACTTTCCAAAAAAAAAAAAGGATTCTTCAAAATAGTTGTGAAACCAAGTACACAAACAATACACATAAAAAAAAGAGACCTCCACCAATCTAACCGCTCTGATTCAACTCACTGTTTCTGCTGCACCAATGATGTCCCTGCGGTGGAATATTGCAGGTGGAAGGGAGAAAGTCTGTATAGGGGTTGGTGTAGTAAAACTTTGTTCACTGAGTCCTCTCTGAACTTCTTTGGGAACACCAAGGACTTCCCAAGCACTCATATCTACCATGGGCTCTAAAGTTTAGTTCAATCAAAATAAATGATTTAGCTATAAAATATGATTGCATCTTAAACTCATAGTGTTAGTGAGAAATATCATTTTATTACAGTTGAACCAAATGGGTAATTTTTACCTGTATAGATATGAAATATGTTTGTAAAGGTTTTATAATCTAAATTAAGAAATACTTTATTAATAAATAACAATACAGTAATAAAAAACTTACCAGTAAAATTACATTATTTATTACACCCATTTTGAAATCACTGGTGGTCCCTGTAATGAGATTGGCTCTAGTTGATTCGATTTACTCATATATTGCACCATTTTTTGCCTTAAATTGCATCTTCTTTCCAGTTAATGAGGAGGCTACACTAAAGACAAAACAACCAATCAGATTTCAAGGCTTGTTTAAAGTAACCAGTCAAATTGCAGGAAAATGAAAGACAAAGAGTATCACTTGGCAAATTTTGCAACTTTTGTTTCCAAAACTCTTACTTTTTCCCCCCAAAAAATGGATGAATTTCATTTCAGACCAGCTCAGTACTGCATCAATAAAATATTTGAACTTACCAAGTCCTGTGATTTCAAAATGGATGTAATAAAGTGGTAATTGAACCTCGTGTCATGCAATTTTGGTCTGAAATCATACTTGTGATTTCAAATCGAACTCACGCTGTGCACTCGTTTGAGTTTGAAATCATGCATATGATTTCAGCAGAAATTGCACTCCACTTAGTTCAATTACCATTATCTATAGAAAATCATATCTTTTCCAAGATAACATTATCTACACAAAATGTGTTTGATTCTCTTCTTAATAATAAAATCCGAGGACAATCATTGGAGTAAAATTGTACTTTGTTTTGTGCATTTCCCATCCATAATTCCTAAAATTAAATCTTACCTGGAGGATCTTCCACCAGTCTATTGTCAGTGACCATTTCTACTCTGTTTTGCTCTTCTGACTGGGCTTTACTTTGGGCCTCGTTTTTCTTTTTCCTCTTCTTTTTTCCCTTTGTCTGTTGGTCATTCTTTGTGCTTTTTTCAAGTTGTGTGGATGGTGTGGTAACTGTTTGTTCCAGATTATCCTGAAGATTTAAATCAAAAGACAATACTATGTAGCTTTTTTTTTTTTTTTTTTTTTCCCCGTGAGCCAAACTTCTAGAGAAAACCAAAAAGAAGCTTCTATTCTTAGATATACATTATTGTGCATGTATGGGTAAAGACTGAAAAAATGCATGAGCCCTTGGGACAATGCAGTCTGCTGTCTTCAAAAAAATTAGGACAAACTGCTCTCAAAATGATTTCAATCAATTCCTGTATTTCCATGTAGTTCTTGTGGTGAGTGTTGTTGTTTTTGTTGTTGTTGTTTTCTTTTTGTTTGTTTGTTTGTTTGTTTCTTTTCTCATTTAAGGTATGACTGGCAGTTATCTTAGTTTTGATTCTCACGTCCAATATATACACCCAATCTGACTCAGGAGACAAGTCATTCCATTTGGGTCAGGTTGAGGATTATTATTAAGCGTCTTGAAAATCGACTTGTGGTAAGACATTTCCACCTTAGGAGGCACGGTTTATTCAGATTTCCAGTATCACAAGATGACTTAACCACTTATTAACTTCTGGTGGGTTGATTTGTAAACAACTCAACCCAATTTGGATGTATTGGACAACCCTCAACATTTATAATTAAAGATGAGTTATAACAAAAAATAAATAAACAAAAAAAATTTTAAAAGATAATTTTTCCCAATTTCTCGTAAAATACAAGGGTAATTTCGCCACGTGCTTGAAGTGAATCTTACATTTGTATCTTCTAAATTTAACCATGCGGTATGTTTTGAAGCACTTTAAGCAATTCACCTCCTGCAGCGGCCGTTCTTTTATTTTCCTCTTTTGAGCTGGTCCACTTGCACTAATTCCTGATAGCTCTTCTGGATGATAATCTTCCATGACTTTAAGGGACACAAATCCATCCATTTCGCCCGCAAAGAACGAAGGATCGTCCAATTCTACTGGTTCCCATTTTCGCTTCTTCCCTTTCGAATTCTTCTCTACCATTATGGAGCAATAATCAAAGAGCTTTAGTTGAGAAACTGAATGTAAACGCTCTTTTAAATAAAAAACGACCGTTTTGGTTTATCCTTAGAGAATTAATAAAAACAATCTCACGTCGTCCGCCATTATGGATTACCCGCCAGACAAGGACTGGATAAGAAATTGTACTGCGCGCATATTCAAACGGGAGTCATCCGCTGCTTTATTACTATATGGCTTTTCTCCCTTCGCCGAGTTAGCTGAAACCTTTGTAAAGCGCGAATGAAAAGACTAACATGGCGAAAGAACACCGTACATTCAAAGGGGAGTGCATTTATATTGAGCGCTTAAACGGAAACTCGTTTCTTATCAAGAAAGGCTTTGTCCCAAACATGAAGGTAAGTGAACGCGCGCCAAACATCAGATCGGAAGCTCAACTCCAGCTGAGTAGCGTGCGCGTCAAAATACACGTCTAACGATGTCATACTTGAGAATGTTGATAATAAGCTATGGTCATCGAAATAAATCCCCTTACACCTGTCATTTCCGTCAAAGTAATTTCCTTCTTTGAAATAAGTTTTGTCACAAGGAAAATTGTTTCTGGGACAACTAGATATTGTTCTCCCCCTCTTCCCCACCCTTTTCTGCCCACGTTACGATCAAATCCCCTCCCCCTCCCCCCCCTCCCCCCCCCCCGTCTCTCATGTCAGAACTGTTTTCTTTTTTTTTTTGTTTCAATCAGTCAATTCACGAACTACAGTCAAACCTGTCTTAGGTGACACGGTATTAAGCGCTTGCACTGTATTAGACGCCATATTCCTGAGGATGACTGCTTAATACAGGGTTGACTGAACTGAACAAATAAATTTTGTCCTCACTTCCTCCATCAAACCCAGATTATATCCATTATTGTCCCCATCCCCCCTAATTTCCCTCCTTTTCCCCTAGTTGCAGACTGTGGTGTTTTGCTGGAAATTGTTGATGCAAGAATGTCCTAGTTAGTACTGGATTAGGATGTTCTCGATAATAAGTACCATGGACAAATTTTTACATTCTGTTTCAGATACAAGACTTGAGGTGTACATTGCAGCTATTCAACTCTGAATTTCAAACTATTTTTTTCTCTTTTTTTCTTTAAAAATTGAAGGTATCTTAGATATATAAATGAGTTGCTTGAAAAGCAAATGTTTGATGAGCTGAAGCACTGGGCTGGAACTCAAGGTACAGTACTCTAAACATTTGAAATATAATACTGTTGTATTTGCTGCATTTTTCTTATTCCTTTGATACAGTTAAATTAAATTGCTCTCCAGGTATTGGTGGTTTCCTTACTGGTGTAAAGCAGATTGCAAATGTGGCAGCTTTGCCTGGAATCGTTGGTGTAAAAATGATCATAACTTTTTCTTGTTGAAATTACAACTCAGTTTAACTCAAACTTGTTCAATCCCGGGCCCAGTTGTTCAAAGGCTGATAAGTGCTAACCCAGGGTTAAATTTTAATCAGGGTGTGTTTAATCCTTGGCTTAAAATCCTTTTTAGAATAATTCACTATAATTTTTTTAGGGCATCCAATCATCAAATTGCAGACTAAAGGAATTGTACATGTATACTGAAGTTCATTTGAAAGCTTTCAGATATGAAATCAGATTTCACACTGACCATTAGCTATCTTAACTCAGCTTTTAACAAACTGGGCACCCTGTACTCTTGGGAAGCAGAGAAAGTATAAAGTGGAGATGACAAAAGAGTTTCTTGCTATACAGTTTGTGTTTTCATAGTATTTTTACACAAAGATTTCACTTAAAGTGGTGCCAAATAGAGCATCCAGTTATCCAGTTAGATCCAGGTATCCCATTATTTTAGAATGTGGGTTTATTGAACTTTCTCTGTGGTAAAATCTTTATTTCCTTCTTAATAAATTTAGGAAATTCTGAAATAGTATGCGTAGAATACTAATATCCTAATATCCTTCTCAGGGAAAATGCACATATTTTTTCCAGGCTAATGAAGTCTTGAAAAAGGTACTTTCAGAGACAATATCATCCATCTCTAGATGAATTTGTCATCTCTGAAAGAATTTGTCATCTCATCAATCAGACTTTATGAATGACAATATACCCCCAGCCAGAGAAATTCTTGATCACTTCCCTTTTGTTGAAATAACAATAACAAAGAAGGCTATGTATCTCCGTTTCTATTCTGAAATGTTGATTCGTATTTTTTTGCTTGGCCCTCAGAGATCAGTTGGACTACCAGATGTTCATTCTGGCTGTGGATTTGCTATTGCTATTGGTAAGTTACAATTCACACAATGAATATGTTTGTGGATTGTAGTTGTTTGAAGTGGGGTGTCATGTGAAAAAAATTATTCTCAATAAGTTGTTTGTCAACAATGTAGTTTCCTCTTCATAACTCAAAGTAAGTGCCCTTTGATGAAGCTTATAGTTTCTTTTCAAACTGGTAATGTGCTTAAAATGACTTTGGTTGGTCATGGTGATGAATTCACTTTCTGCAGTATAATCATTTGTCGCGCCATTAATTAACTTTGGATGTGGAACGTGACTTTTTGACTGCATATTGTGTCTTCTTTGCATTATAAGGTCAGTAGATATGCTTGACCTTATGAAACTCTCTGTTTGGCTGTGATTGGCTGGAATCCCACACAGGCTTTGATTGGCACACTCTGACCAAATGTTCCTTTGGAGTACACAGTCGCAGAGTTATTATGTTTTTGTGTTTCTTGTGGTCAGCATCCATGTTTCTGGGATGTCTACCTCAATGTCCGATTTATGTTGTAACAGGCAAAGTCCTATGTGGATGGCCTCTTATACCCTGCATGTATAATAATAGGATCACAATCAATGTACTCTACTTCAGTCCAGAGCAGGTGGTTTCCAGGTGTCTTCTGAAACTGCAGAGGCCTTTGTCTTAGCATGTCATTTCTCTATATGCTATATAACTCGTTTAACCTTACTTGCATAGGTTTTCCTGTTCTGCTGATGTAAACTTTGCCTTACTCTCAGGCAATCTTTTCAACCAGGGGCTCTTGTTTTAAAGATGCTGTGCCATGGATGGGGAGTGTCCTGTTACTATTTGTAACATCAGTGAAGTGAATGGAATGCTTTCGGTTCTTCAAATGCTGTAGCAAGCAAGATTGTGAATGTGTTATATACAGAGCGTTCCCAGATCCTTCACTGGTAGGATGATAAGGTTATCGATTGCTCCTATTACTTAACGATAAATATTGTTATTTATTCTTTTTATTTATTTATTTTTACTTTTCGCAGTGGGGAGGAGGGGGGTTTGGCCGGGTGGCTTTTCTAATTTTGTAATTTGAGTTTATATACTTACTTTGCAGTTCCACCCCGTTTTAGTAATGAGTTTAGAAATCTCACCATTGCACCCTAAAGCTCCATTCCTTTGATGCACTGTGATCTGTGTGATCTTGGACTACAAATCCTAATCCTTATCCTCCCAAAGGAACACACCATTTAACTCCACATTTACAAAAAAGTGTTATTTGAGAGGTGATCCACAAGTATCAGTCAGGTGGACCAAGGATGGAGTGCTACTTAGTAAAAACAACAGCCTGGTTATTAGACAAGTGACATTTAAAGATAAGGGCAATTATGAATGTACTGCTAAATATGATTATGGCAAAGCAAACTCTTCCTTCTGGATGGATATCAGAGGTAAACTCTATATTGTAGTTTATGTCAGTCATCAAACTTGTAACTTAACGAAGCATTTGTTTTGAAGTTAAAGCCAAATTTAAAGAGACCTATTTTTTTCTCTCTTTTCATCCATATCATTTAAAAATATCAATGACCAAGGAACTAAGGAGTCATGATCTTATGATTCATTTTCATAAGTGTTAAAGGTAGTTCATCAACTTGGATACGAGTGTATCATTACCTAAATATTAATGATTGAAGTTGGAAAGAGATTACAAAGGAACATTCATATAACTTGTTTCAAATTACCAACATTAGTACTCTTTTTTCTAGAAAAGGGTTCCTGGTCGCGTACAGTTGATTCTGACTCACAGACAACCAGATTGTAAATGAAGATAAATCCGTGACCAAAAAAAATAATTGAAAACACCTCCTGTTGTTAAGAAATTGCAAATCCTGTGGTCCACTCTAACATTTTTCTCTGTGAACTTATGTTAAAACGCACAATTTGGATATGTCAAATGACAGACTTGAAAATCGCGTTTTTTGTTGTGATTTTGTTGATTTTTCAAGGAACTGAGGGACATGATAGACTATAGCTGGAGCAAAACAAAATAGATTTTTTGTCAGGTTTTTAATAAGTTCTTTTATAATTACTGTTAGGATTGGAAATCATTGAAATTATCACCACAACAGAGAAATGGATCTTACCATGTATGTATGGAGTCACATCCTAAAAGGAAAAATTTGGAGAAAAATATATAATGGTAAGTACCTTGTTTTCAATTTAGTGGTTTCAGTGTTATTATATCACAGATTAATTTAAGGACTTCACTTTCTCAAAGCATGGCCAAGGAAAAGACCTGGATTAATCACATTGATTTAGTTTGATTGGCGTGATTGAGTTCAATAATAAAATTATTGAACTCGCTGAAAATTTCCAGTTCAATTATGTTTGATTGAACAGCAATCTAACAATTGGATTTCACTGAGTTCGATTGATTTTTGGCTGGGTTTTGTTCAATTGTCCATGCCAGGAAAAGATCAATGTTTAATTATATTGCCAAGAATTTCAACTCTACGTTTTTATTTTATTTCAATAAAAGCAATACTTGCAAAGAACACAGTTACCTCATCATGGTGTACCTCTCAAAAGAATCTTGCCCATTTCCTTGTATGGTCCTTGAACTGTTCTGGTGTTTTGTAGCTTTCTTGGCCTGGTTCTGGGTCCACTGCTTCCACCAGATCACTGAAACCCTATTTTATCAACAAAGAGAACAAGTATGTAGATGAGTATATTTTAATATAATTTATTGTAGTCATGCCCTTTAGATATTGACTAAAATTTAACTCTATGATCCGAGTGACCAAATTAACACAAGAAAATGTTTACCTTCCATAATTTCTTCACTTCTCTGTATGTCCTTCTTTGATGACTTGTCCCCTCAAAGATTGGTTTATGATCCAGTTTGTTTAGGATTGCTCGGAGGTCTTTTCCTGACATAATACATTGTTGTTATTATTATTATGTTCGTTGTTATCAGTATTAGTTATTACTTGCCATTGCACTGTGATATGTAAAGTAATGCAAAATAAAGCCTTTTTTAGCCTGTGGTAAATTAGAATAAAGTATTAATTTTTTTTTAGAATAGCCATAGAGGTCTTTGTTTTTTTTTTGTTTTTCATTCTCGTGATATACACCTAACTTTAAGTCTGAGATTACAACTATGATTTTTTATTTTTAATTGAATCTTTGTGATTTCTACACTGGTCAGATTTTATTCACTATAGTCATGCCTGGCTTTGGTAGTTAGGTACATGTAGTTAAAATAAGTTACATTTGTTTTCACTGACCTCTGGTATTGAATGCAAGGCATTGATCCCATTTTGCCTGTTCCTCTCCTGTTTCAGAACACTGATTGGCGAAAGAATCTCTCTTTCCTCGTCTGGTAAGGTCATCCTCAACTCATGGTATGCCTCGTCTGAAATCAAGCCTTCATCTTTCGCAACAAGTACATGCTGCGTCGTCCGACAATTGGAGTTTTCTCTCTCGTCACCAGCATCGTGTCCAAGTGGAATTACAACTTCACGTTCTTGTACAGTGAATTTAATCTGAAGAAGAAGACAGGGGTTTCCCTTTAAAATTTGTTTTCATAGAACATAGCTAGATAGATAGATTGATCGCCACATAGATGTATGATTTTTTTTCGCGACTTTGCTGTTGGTCAATGTCTCAGTTCTATTTTTCACGAAGAAGTAAAATTGTTACTTACCTTGATGGGCTCAAACTCCTCCAGTCCTTCCACCGATTGAGCCACTAGTTGCCTGACTCGTCTTTTCTTATTATTTCTGGCTGCCGGTGTTAATTGCCAGAAGTCCTTTTCGGTGTTGTAGAAAACATTTTCAGTCTCTGCAATTCTCTGCTTTAGCAGCATTCCTTCAGCATTTGCTAGTTGAAGCTGAGCTACGACTTCATTCAGCCGAGTTGCAATGGAGTTGTGCTAAATTCTCAAATTGTGGTTCTCTTCCCGAAGACGCCTTATTTCGGCCTCATAAACCTCTGTAAGAGATGGCTGTGTCTGTGCTAGTGTGCAACTCACAAGCTCGATTGTGTTGAAAATGAGTTAGAAAACTCCTACCGCTGACGGACCTAACCTTAAATTTCGACAACATTACTTAGCGAGTATCAGTCCTCATTACACCCGGACGTTTTTCTACTTAGCATCATTTTGTGTCTTGTTTTCATTCATGGATAACTTAAACAAAGCCATTGCTTTTAATAGAATGCCGATCGCTTTTTTGTGATCTTCATCAAATGAAACAGAAAAAAAAGAAACAAAAACCCACCCACACATAAGATCGACCTTAAGTCTGAAAAATACTTGAAGAGCGGGTTTATTTTTATAACCAACCTTCATAATCTTGAGAACGTATCAAAGCAATTAGAGAGGCGAGCGCGAACTGAGATTGCTTGAAACTTGTCCGATGGCTCATTTTTATCAGGGAGGTGAGAAAATAACCATCTATTGTTAATCGTTTCTCATGAAGCGGCCGCTTGTATTAGAAGAATTGATCGATATCAAGGAATATTGCTGCGTTTTTCGCGCTAAGTGCTTATGCCATCAAATATAAGAATTTGTTCATGCTTAGCGTGCGAATATCGAGTTATGGATGCACGGGGAAGTTTGGAGGGCAAGAAAAATGCGTAAGAGTAGCTCGAGGCGCAGCCGAAAGCAACTCTAGCTTTTTGAGTGCTCTCCAAACTTCCTAAGTGGATCCATATCTCGATATACGCACAGCTCAAAGCATGAGCAAATTCTTTTATAACAGAGCGACAAGGATCTGCGCGAAGAAGCCAAATTTGCTGCAGCTGGTCTTCCGACAAATTTGCGAAAGGTGCAACTTGCGAGTTTTTTTCGGCTTTGTCTTGCTTGTTGGATCAGGACCTAAAAGGTCAATGCCGACAGAAAAATTGGGCAGTTCTTCGCTGGTTTCTTCCATATTTCAAAGAAAAGGAAAACTACACTGCAACTTAACAGGACGGAGACTCTGAAGCCGGGTAAAAAAAAAAATGCTCACATCATCTTATTTACGCGCGGCTGTGCGTAAATAAAGATTTTATTCATAGCGGCTCAACAGGACTTGTATAGGGAAAGCACGCGCGCTATGTTATAAAACTAATTCGCTCGCGGTTTAAATACTTTGTAAGCATTTGCGTTGTCATTAGATGGTTTCTTTTTGGGTTTCCTTTCAAAATTATTTATTGTCGAAACCAATGTGTCGACATCGATGGGAATAAATGCGAGTAACGTGCATCCCAGTAATATGTTCCGACATGCATTCGAGAATAAGCCGTAACGTAATAAAGATCGTCGGTGGAAAATGTCGTTTGAGATTAGGAGGGTGAAAAGACAATAGCAGGTAATTTAGTGTTGACAACTGGGTTGAAAACGAAAATTAGCCACCGTAAAGGTTAAAAAAGCTGACATTTCGAGCCGAAGGGCTAACGCTCGAAACGTCAACTTTTTCACCCTTTACGATGGCTGATTTACGTTTTCAACCCAGTTGTTAACACTAAATTACCTGCTATACTCTCCCACCGACGCAGCACCACAGTTTCTTTAGAAACTTACCCCTTTATTCATTTGAAAAGACGATAGACTTCTTATCTTGTCTCGCAAATCTTGCCGTCTGGAAAATCAGATGCTCTGTTCACAGTACATAAAACCTTCAGAGGCGTTCAGTTATTCATCTCTCAAAGAATTCAAATTCATCTCGGTTTTTGTTCTTTGTACTTTTTTTCCAGAGGATGAAAAACTTCGTCGCAACAAACGCAAACCAAGACCCTGTTCTAAAGCCGCGGCTACACGAGCGATTTTTTGCCTGCAATGGTGATGCGATTTTTTTCTTAACATTGTCACGTCGCCGGCGCGCGGTGGCGGCTAAACGGGTGACAAAGTTTGTGATTTTGTCACGAAAAGTTCAACTCATCGAATTTCTCGCGATTTTTTTCAGCGATATAATGGCTGTCGCCATCCCAGCACTTGCACGAGGGTGGCTACACGGGTAGTTTGCACCGCGCGCTAGCGACGCGACAAATTTAGAGAAAATCGCATCACCATTGCAAGTAAATAATCGCTCGTGCAGCTGCGGCTTAACATTGTGAGATCTGGAATCGGGCTACCTGTCGATTTAATTCAAACAAGCTTCATTCGTGACCATTCACACTGATTCAAATTTTATTTGGTTTCATCACCTTCCTACGTTACAAAATGAATTTTGCTGTCCTCTTATTGACTCGCTTCAAATTGAAGTCGTAAACATTCAAAGAAAGTAGTTATAGGATTCTGAAATTCATCCTTGTGCAAAATACTCGTCGTCTTCTTCCTTTTTTGTTATTTATTTACTTTTTTAATTATTTGTGTCATCACAGAACGAGGTTTATATCTGGCGACTCTCCACTTTGGGAATAATTTTTTTCAACCGAAGGAAAACGTTGAGAAAGGTATTATTATCATATTATTTGTTTTCTTCCGGTATCCTTCGGATCATTAAAACGTTTCATTCGAGGCCTATTAGTTGTTTAACTCAGTTGTTGAATTGTTGATGAAAGCTGAGTATAATAAATTTTCGTTGAGGATCATCATCCATCTTATTTCAATTCAGCCGATTGAATTTACCATGATGCGCTTTGGTTAAATACATTGTAGGTTTTTTAGCTCATTCATGCTGAAAGCAATGATTGAGGTATCTTGGTGATGTTGACGGAAGTTGTCGACCGTGGACGGGAGTTGTATTCCATGGACAGAAGTTGCATTGTGGACCGTGAACGGAAGTAGTCTCGCATGCTACCCCTCCCCACTCAGTAAAAGTCAAAAAAATTAATTTCGATGAAGCTCAGAAACTCACGTGGAAAAAAAATAAAATTTTTGTATGGTTTAAAAACAATGATAACTCAAATCACATTTCTGAACTTCTAAAAATGCAACTTGAATCGAAAAGCCAAAATGTTCACACCTAGGGGACCCTTAACGGGTTCATTTCAAAACACGCCGTTATCACGCAGAAGAGCATTGGCATCAGAGACAGTCATATTGGCAAGCCACGCATTTGCGTTCGTCTTCATCTGGTATAAAGTTATCATTACTCTATCATTGTGCTTGTCCTCGGGAGCTTTTCAACATACAGTAAACACATTAATCATAGCGGCCAAGATGGTCTAAATATTTTCTTTCGAGCTCCATTATTTCGGTCCGGACTTGAGGCTCGCTCAGACAAAAACAGCAATACCAATCCGGTCAGTACAAAATACAGACTGCAGACAGCAGACCGGGTACAAAATGCAGACTAGGTATAAAATGTAGACTGCAGACTGGTTACCAAATGCAGACTGAGAATTTATACTGTTTTTTCGTTTGATACGTGATAACATATCGTATTAAAACTTACCGAGCGTCACGCAATCGCTTTTCCGCGATCATCTTTTACTATCATTCGCAATATTGGGGAAAATTCCTTACTCGTTTCTTGATCAGAGACGTTCTGAAAATAATTTCAAGCCTTCCTAGAGTCTTCTCACTTTGCACGCGAGTTAGTTGGTGTGACGTCGGCACAGAATTTACCAACTTAATAAAAGTGGATGTAGATGTAAATCAGATGTCACTATCGAATATTTAACACGCGCAATATTCGAAAAACAATTGAAAGCTTTGCACGTGGTCCATACGTTCCATCCTTTTAACCGATATGTGTTCACTTTGTTGACAAAAATGCAGGCCGGGACCAAAATTGGACCCTTGACTTGATACATTTTTAACGTTCAGGGGTGTTCGCGCACTGATTTTCACATATGTGCCTTATATTGTTGTTGGCTTACATGAGGAACCGGCGAATTTTTATAGGGAAAAGCGAAGCGTTGCTTTCGTGACTGGCCTTTTGATTACTTTTCTGATGGTTTTATCCCTCATCTGTTTGGAGATTACGCAAATATTGATATGTGAAAATCAGACTATATGGGGGCTTGAAATTCTATTAAGAACGATTGTGGCCGCTTTGTTAAATACCAAACGCAACGACCGCTTTATTAAAAACAAAAGATATCAAGAAACGAGCAAGGAATATTTCACATTGGTGCAAATGATCATGAAAGATGAGGGTTACAAATATTTTGCTGCTTGAGCAACATTTGATGCCCGATCATGCCCACCCAGCCCACCCTCCGCCCCACAAACACACACACGCACCAACAAAAAGGACACTGTCTGCCTAATGACCTCTGCCCATCCCACCTCCAGCCCACATAACCTTATTTCCAATCCCATCACGACAAATGAACAAGTTTTCTTATCACACAACTGCCCAAAAGTCTTGAAATTTCACATAAACTGAATTCAACTGTACCTTATTCAAACAGTCCAAGATATCAATACAAACTTAAGCCATAACATGAATGAGCTAGCTCCAAGAGCCCTTTGATTAATTATATTTGCTGTCGGTCGCTGAAAATAGCTAAACACTTCTCAGTTGCTAATAGTTTTAATTTGCGCATAAAAAAACAATGGAGATCTTAGGATTCAGCGGTGTCACTAAAACATAGTGATTGAAACAAAAACATTCAGTTTTTGATAAGCTTTGGCAGTGAGTTGAAATTAATTTAATATCAACTCAGAACTGTTTAGAAGGGAAAAACCATTTAAATAATCTATGTTTAGTCAACACTTACTTAATTCCACACCAGATGGTTGCAATGGGACAATTTTGATGTCCTTTTATTGGCTCCCTTTGAAGTGAGGTCATAAACATATAAAGATAATAGTTATTGGATTCTGAAATACATCCTTCAGCAAAATACTCGTCATATTCTTCCTTTTTATTGTTTGTGTCTTCACGGATCGTGGTGTTATATCTAGCGACCCTCCATTTACTTTGGAAATAATCAAATTTTCAACAGAAGGAAAAAGGTGAGAAAGACCTTATTATTATTACATTATCATCATTAGTTGTTTTCTTCTGGTAGTGATCGGATCACCAAAACGAGTTTCATTCTAGGCCTCTTAGTTGTTTGATTCAATTGTTAAATCGTTGATGATACGCTGTCAATTTTCGTTGACGATCTTTACCCATTTTTATTTCGATTCAGCCGACTAAGTTTACTATGATACACTTTATTCAGTTACATTGTAGGCGTTTTTAACAATATTTGTTGCCGGTCGCTGAAATCGGCTAAACGCTTCTCAATTGCCAATAACTGCAAAAAACAAACTAAATTAAAAGAACACGAAATAAAAACAGGTACGGAAAAAAAAGCGAGAAGCAAAACTCGACAGAGCGAAGAAAAACCAAATTTTAAACTGTTCGTAATACTAAAATCTCCGGAGTTTTTAAAAGGACCAATTTTGACAACAATCGGTAATGGAGTTACGTTATTCGTCACCAGATGGTGGCAAGCGTAAATGATCTCTTACTTGACTGACTCATTTGAAATAATAATAATGCCCAAAGAGATGTTTTTTTGGCACGATTATGGCAAATAAATTCAAAAGCAGTTTTTAATTTTCGCGTTAAAAAGAAAGGAGATCTTAGGATTCAGCAGTGTCACTAAAAGGTAATGATTAAAACAAAAGATAAGTTTTCCATGAGCTTTGGCAGTGACTTGAAGTTAATTTACAATGAACTCAAAACTATTCAGAAGGGAAAAACTGTTTAAATAAACTACTTTTCACTCTAGGCCTACTAAATTTTTAATTTAGTTGTAAAAATGTTGATGATTCGCTTTCAATTTTCGTTGACGATCTTCACTCATTTTATTTCGATTCTGCCGATGCACTTTATTCAGTTGCATTATAGGCTTTTTTAGTGATATCTGCTGTCGGTCGCTGAAAATAGCTCAACGCTTCTCAATTGTAAATAACTATTAAAAAAAACCAAACAAACCAAAAGAACACGAAATAAAAACAGGTATGAAAAAAAAGAACTAGAAGCAAAACTCAACAGAACAGAGAAAAACCAAATTTTAAACTGTTCGTAATACTAAATTCTCCAGAGCTTTTAAAAGGACCAATTTTTGACAGCAATCGGTTATATAGATCGATGACGCTGGTAAAATAGTTATGTCATTCGTCACCACGAAATAAAAACAGGTACGAAAAAAACAAATAGGCGAGAAGCCGAACGCGACAGAACAGAGAAAAACCAAATTTTATTTTATTTTGTGTCATCGCAGATTGTGGTTTTATATCTAGCGACTCTCCATTTACTTTGGAAGTAATCAAATTTTCAACAGAAGGAAAAAGGTGAGAAAGACATTATCATCATTAGTTTTTTCTTCTGGTATTGTTCGGATCACTAAAACGAGTGTCATTCAAGGCTTATTAGTTGTTTAATTCAATCATTAAATTGTTGATGATTCGCTGTCAAT